TAAGATTGTCTCAGATGGATTACATCTTCACTCATCGGATGGTTCTATAATCGAAGAAGTCCCTTCATACAAACACCTTGGTATTTGAATTGACAGTGATTTAACGTTCAAAAAGAATACAAATGAGCTTGTTAAGAAGCTAAGATTTAAAGTGGGCTTTTTTTTATAGAAACAGATATTGCCTCTCTCTAGTCAGCAGGAAGCAGATTGTGCAGTCAAACTTTCTATCTGTTATTGATTATGGCGATACTCAGTGGCGGCTCCTGAAAAAATTCTCAGGGGGGGCAATTTTTCTGATGATTTAGGTGACCTACACACATTTTAAAAAAGATATGTCCAGCAACAACATGAAGACAGGGGCAGCATATAAGTCAATACCAGAAGCATTTATTGACTGATCTCAAAAGTGTTGGCTTACCAGGGTTGGTGGAGCCCTCAGTTTCATCTTTGCCTCGCAAAGCTAACTCAAACACTCCGCAAAACTTCACACACTGGATTAGCCGGCTGAGGATGTGGCGGTTCTTGCTAATGTCGTAGTAAATATATTTGTTATAGTGAATATGGAATATGATATGTTGAGTAAAATGTTGTGCTAAGATCTATTTAGGTCAGGAGCTGGTTATAAGTTCTGTTCCTATCCAATAACAATGGACAAAAGGGTCCTATCTTGTCAGCCTTGTCAGTTTCAGTTCTCCAGTAAACTTGTGATTATCAACACTAACCTCATCGTTGTGGCGGCGGACAGCTAGCCTGTATCCCTCATCCAGTTGAGTGGGAATGTTCACTCTCCCCAAAGCAGACAATCTCAAACAGGTATCCATGTGGGTCTTTGACAGCTCATGTTTCTTAATCTTTCCTGAAAGATGGTACATGTCCGTTACACACCAGTCGCTGTCCAAGCGGTGCTGTCTGCCGTGCCGCCTTCAGGGTGAAAGAGTAAGCAGGGGGTAGCAGAAGACTGCATTAGCTACATCGCAGCCTGCTAGCCAGGTTTTTCGTTCGTACCAATTTTTGGAAAATCTTCCCCCCTTTAGTAGAAACCTGTTGAATTATTAAATTTGGTCTGGGAGGTCCTAATTGTTTCGTTGCCAATTTATCTTCATTTGTTCGCCGACAAAAAGGAACTTCTTTCAAAGACACAATCGAGTTGCACTGAAGCCTAGCCATTTTGACAGTAATAGTGAATTGATTGACGCTGCTACCCGCTCTTTTCTTAGTTACGTTCATGGTTATGTTACGTATGACGAAAGCGCGTAAGTGCAAGCCCTCAGAAACCCATAGAGATTGTATTGAAAGCTCTGATATTTGAAAAAAATAGATTTTACATGGGAGTCTATGACAGACTTCTGGGCGATTTTCAACCTGACTGAAATCGCCCCAAAAGGGGGGGGGGGGCATTTGAAGCACGACTTTAGCCTGATTGGACATTTAGTGGCACTGTGGCAGATCAGACGTCTAGATTACAACACTGATAACTACTGTTGCCGTGATATAATTGATTAGAAAAAAAATCCCTTCCTTTTCCCGTTTGGCAGTGCGTCGCCCATATCGCCCTATTGAACACACCGCCCCTGGCGATACTATTTATCAAAGTGCAGCTGCCACTTCATAGCACCCTTCGTTTTCTCAAAGGAGACTGCATTCTTTACCAAAAGGTTGGCTGGCCCTCTTTAAAGTCACATAGATCACATCATTATGCTATTTTTGTTTAGAAAGCACTGCTCCATAAGCTTCCGACTTACCTAACATCACTGTTAAGATTTAAAACTACAAGTTGGTTAACTTTGGCGACTCCTTTTGTGTCTACAGAGGTAGGTAAATCGGCCTTTAATTCCCTTTGCACCCTATGTATTATTTTATATTTTTTTGTGTTATTTTTTTTATTCATAATTTTTATTTATTTATTTATTTATGAATAATAATTATTTATCTTCTTTTTTTTTGGGGGGGGGGGGGGGGGTGGATCAGCTTAATATTGCAGATAGATTGTATCTTCTATCAATGTAATTGTCTGCATCACTTCCAATCCCCCATGTTTTTTTATATATATACTCCCCTTTATTACTTTTCAACCCCGCCATTCTTTCCTACTTGGAGTAAATTAGTGAACAACAATGCCCAGGCCTCTACTTCCGATCTATACTTACTATCTACACCTTATGGACAGAGTTAATATTACTATAATTCTATTATATATATATATATATATACAGTGGGGAAAAAAAGTATTTAGTCAGCCACCAATTGTGCAAGTTCTCCCACTTAAAAAGGTGAGAGAGGCCTGTAATGTTCATCATAGGTACACGTCAACTATGACAGACAAAATGAGAAAAAAAAATCCAGAAAATCACATTGTAAGATTTTTTATGAATTTATTTGCTAATTATGGTGGGAAATAAGTATTTGGTCAATAACAAAAGTTTCTCAATACTTTGTTATATACCCTTTGTTGGCAATGACACAGGTCAAACGTTTTCTGTAAGTCTTCACAAGGTTTTCACACACTGTTGTTGGTATTTTAGCCCATTCCTCCATGAAGATCTCCTCTAGAGCAGTGATGTTTTGGGGCTGTCGTTGGGCAACACGGACTTTCAACTCCCTGCAAAGATTTTCTATGGGGTTGAGATCTGGAGACTGGCTAGGCCACTACAGGACCTTGAAATGCTTCTTACAAAGCGACTCCTTCGTTGCCCGGGCGGTGTGTTTGGGATCATTGTCATGCTGAAAGACCCAGCCACGTTTCATCTTCAATGCCCTTGCTGATGGAAGGAGGTTTTCACTCAAAATCTCACGATACATGGCCCCATTCATTCTTTCCTTTACACGGATCAGTCGTCCTGGTCCCTTTGCAGAAAAACAGCCCCAAAGCATGATGTTTCCACCCCCATGCTTCACAGTAGGTATGGTGTTCTTTGGATGCAACTCAGCATTCTTTGTCCTCCAAACACGACGAGTTGAGTTTTTACCAAAAAGTTCTATTTTGGTTTCATCTGACCATATGACATTCTCCCAATCCTCTTCTGGATCATCCAAATGCACTCTAGCAAACTTCAGACGGGCCTGGACATGTACTGGCTTAAGCAGGGGGAAACGTCTGGCACTACGTCCCTGGCGGCGTAGTGTGTTACTGATGGTAGGCTTTGTTACTTTGGTCCCAGCTCTCTGCAGGTCATTCACTAGGTCCCCCCGTGTGGTTCTGGGATTTTTGCTCACTGTTCTTGTGATCATTTTGACCCCACGGGGTGAGATCTTGCGTGGAGCCCCAGATCGAGGGAGATTATCAGTGATCTTGTATGTCTTCCATTTCCTAATAATTGCTCCCAGAGTTGATTTCTTCAAACCAAGCTGCTTACCTATTGCAGATTCAGTCTTCCCAGCCTGGTGCAGGTCTACAATTTTGTTTCTGGTGTCCTTTGACAGCTCTTTGGTCTTGGCCATAGTGGAGTTTGGAGTGTGACTGTTTGAGGTTGTGGACAGGTGTCTTTTATACTGATAACAAGTTCAAACAGGTGCCATTAATACAGGTAACGAGTGGAGGACAGAGGATTCTCTTAAAGAATAAGTTACAGGTCTGTGAGAGCCAGAAATCTTGCTTGTTTGTAGGTGACCAAATACTTATTTTCCACCATAATTTGCAAATAAATTCATTAAAAATCCTACAATGTGATATTCTGGAAATTTTTTTCTCAATTTGTCTGTCATAGTTGACGTGTACCTATGATGAAAATTACAGGCCTCTCTCATCTTTTTAAGTGGGAGAACTTGCACAATTGGTGGCTGACTAAATACTTTTTTTCCCCACTGTATATATATATAATTATTATTTTTTTGGCTCCTGAACTTCTTCTACTCTCAACCTCTCAGATCATTTTCATGATGTCCATCCAGTTTGCTTCTATATGCCATATCTTTCTAACTGTGCTCTTTCCCAAAAGCTCCCAACATACAACCTATATACTTATTATGGACACAGTATGCTTACATTATTAGCTATCTTTGTTATTATTTGTTGTTATTTGTTATTAGTCCCATCCTTCAACTTTATTCAATACCTCCCATCTATCTCTTAACACCATCCATATAGGATTTCTATTTGCCATATATATTTCAACCGTACTGTGATGTTTTACAAAAGTTCTGAACCTTTCTATTCTCATTGCTTCTACAGATTGTGAATTAAAAATAAACATTTTTGTTAAAAGTATTATTATATTATTGATTGATTGACTATGACTTTTCAGATCACCCAGTAATGCTATCTGCAAGGTTAGCTCCAGGTAAATATTGCAATCCTTTAGCCATTCCTGGACCTGTGTCCAAAAACAAGCTACAAATGGACAGAACCAAAACAAATGATCTAATGATTCTGTCTCTTCACAGCAAAATCTGCAGAGCTGGGAAGATTGTATCCCCCATATAAATAACACCCTATGTTTGGAATAATCTCCAAAAGACGTTTCGATTGGAAGTCCCTAAGACAATTCAGACAGCTGACAGAGGATTTTTATAATGAAGGATGTGTTTGTTTTAATTGACTGTGTTTTGTAGCTTAATGTGTATTTAATGTTGATTTAATGTGTCTATATTTATGTTTATCTATACTTGCCTGTTGTATGTGCTTGTTTTTGTACTGTGCAGGGCTCATTTGTAAAATAGGAGGAACAGACACAGTTCTTGCCCAGCAACAGAGATTGATTGTTTATCCTAGAAATACAAGGAGGTGATTCCGCCTAATCGGAAGGTATAAATATATGTTTGTGTGATTTGTATGAGTGCTTTTGCAGCTGCAACGCCCAGTGTGGTGAATAAATCTAGTTTGAGCGTCTTTTGGTGGCCGACTGGATTTGTACCAGAATTTAGAACCAAACAATGTCAACATATTCTCCTCTCTGCTCACCATTGTGGGTGTTCAAGTGCATCTCCAAGGCCTGCTGTGCTGGTCCAGTTATATTGCAGTGTGGGTAGGGGCCAGGGCCTATGTTGGGCATGTGATGGGGACCAGTCTTCCTGTCTAACTGCTCTGCCTTCATGTCTGAGACTGAGTCCCTCAGTCTCCCGCTGCAATAGTACATCAGATGAGCCTGCAGGTTCCTCTCACTGCGGTACCATATCCCACACGCCTTACACGGGAAGATGTCCTCTGCAGAAAGACAGAGATTAATACAGAGATGAAGTGAGTTCACCCACTTAGGCCTACCATGTAGAGTGCTTTGAGCACTGGAAAAGCATTATAAATCTGACCAATCATGATGAATTCACACACATAGACATTAGAATCACATTTCACTGTACTTTAATCTAATCTCTAAAAATCAGGCTTTATTTATATCTAGTGGAAGGAGAGGGGGTTGGGCCTGGATTAACAGAAGCATCAGTGCTGTCTCTTGGGTGAGGAAAGCATTTAAGCGTAGGTTAACTTTCATTTTTCACCAGGGCTGGAATAGACTGTCAAACAGCGATGACCTGAACGCAACAGACCTTAATCAGAGTAAATGGGCTGTTATTTGATGTGGGTGCTGTCTATGTGGGTGAAGAGTAAATACTTCATTTCAACACAAACTGAAGGTCAAGGAGAACCCCTAGGCTATTATCCCTGCCAAACAGACTAATCTAAGCTGAAATAGCTAATTGAGGATTGTCACAAATTCAGCCGAGGCTGCCCCTCCTCCTTGCTCGGGCAGGTTTCGGCGTTCGTCGTCACCAGCTTACTAGCCACTACCACTCCATTTATCATCACTCCATTTGTCTTGTTTTGTCTTTTCTTGTCAATCACACACACCTGGTACTCATTCCCTCATTAGTCTGTGTATAAGTGTTCACTCTGCCCCCTTGTCCTTTGTGAGTGATTGTTCGTTGTGAGAGTGAGTAGCTCGGTTGAGCTACTCTTTACTTGTATGCAGCCAAGGTTGATTTTCCCATGTGCTAGTTTAGTTCTGTCGCTATATGCGCTACATTATTGTACACTGAATAAACTCTTGATTTCGGTGTTTTACCTCCTGCGCCTGACTCCGTCATTCACACCTCATTACAGAATCACTCACCAGCTATGGAGTCAGCGGGAGAAGAGCGCACACCTGGAATCGTGGCAAGGGTCCAGGAGCATTCTACGATGCTGGCCAGCTTGGGGGAAGCGATGGATCGGGTTCTTCAGGTCGTCCAACGCCTGGAGAGAAGAGGAACCGATCTGTCGAGACCAGCTGGCCAATCGGATCCAGCCACCTACATCACAGCACCCGGAGGGATCCAGATATCCTTACCTCTGGGATTCCTTCTCCAACTGGAGCTGTACTTCTCCAGTGTCAGGCCGGCGCCATCCTGGAGTGGGCCAACGTGGTTTGGAGAGAAGGAGGAGCCGCGTTGGGGGACTACTAGTTCGCCCGCCTATTTCGGGCGGTTTTCGATCACCCGCTCGAGGGTCGAGAGGAGGTCTGCCCATTCCCGCCCCGACCGAAGCGGATCCAGAGCTCATGGAGCTGGGTGGTACCGCGCACCGAGAGAGCGGAGGACGACAGCTCCAGTGCCACTCAGATGGCACGAAGGGACATTCCACCACACGTTGTCGTCAGCGCTCTTTTGGGTCAGGAGGCGGCCGGTAGGGCACTCTCGCATCACCCCAGGTATTGAGCACCCACTCTTGTTCAGAGCCCTCTGCTGAGCACTGTACTATACCCATATACTTCCCTGATCACATGAGAGTTCCCCAGTGTAAGGCGCTAGTCGATTCAGGCGCAGCTGGGAACTTTATGGACAAAACTTTCACACGCCGCCAGGGCATTTCATTAGTTCCCCTATCCATTCCACGCCCCATCAGAGCACTTGATAGTCGACCATTAGGGTCCGGGTTGATAAAGGAAGTCTCGGTACCAGTCACCATGATCACACAGGAGACGCATTGTGAGTAGGTCACTTTTTCCATCATTGAGTCTCCTGCTTTCCCTGTGGTGTTAGGTATTCCATGGCTAGCACTCCACAACCCCACTTTCTCATGGCCGCAGAGGGTTCTCACGGGGTGGTCGCGAGAGTGTCAGGGTAGGTGTATGGGTGTTTCCGTTGGTGCAACCACGGTGGAAAGTCCAGATGGTGCCTCCACCGTGCGCATTCCCCCCGAATACCATGATCTGGCACAAGTCTTCTCTAAAAATAAAGCGACTAAATTACCACCTCATCGGGCGGGGGATTGCGCAATAAACCTTCGGGTAGACGCTGTACCTCCCAGGAGTCATGGGTATCCCCTGTCGCAGGCGGAGACGGAGTCTATGGAGACATACATCACCGAGTCCCTGCGCCAGGGGTACATATGTCCCTCCACTTCACCCGCCTTCACCCGTTTCTTTTTTGTGAAGAAGAAAGATGGCGGTCTGCGCCCGTGCATTGATTATCGACCACTGAACAAGGAGACGATTAGATTTAGTTATCCTCTCCCCCTCATTCTGTCAGTGGTTGAGTCATTGCATGGAGCGCGCTTCTTCACTAAATTAGATCTCAGGAGTGCGTACAACCTGGTGCGTATCCGAGAGGGAGATGAGTGGAAGACAGCATTCAGCAAAACCACGGGGCATTATGAATACCTGGTGATGCCCTATGGTTTGATGAATGCTCCCTCAGTCTTCCAGTCCTTTGTGAATGAGGTATTTCGGGACATGCTTGGTCGCGGTGTAGTGGTCTACATCGACGACATCTTGGTGTATTCCGCTACGCGCGCCGAGCATGTGTCCCTGGTTCGCAAAGTACTGGCCCGACTGTTGGAAAATTACCTTTATGCTAAGGCAGAAAAGTGTATGTTTTTCCAGCAGTCCGTCTCCTTCCTCGGATACCGCATTTCTACCACAGGTGTGGAGATGGAGGGCGACCGCATTACAGCCGTGCGTAATTGGCCGACTCCAACCACGGTAAAGGAGGTGCAGCGCTTCCTTGGCTTCGCCAACTACTATCGGAGGTTTATCCGGGGCTATGGCAAGGTCGCAGCTCCCATTACATCTCTGTTGAAGGGTGGGCTGTCCCGGCTCTGCTGGTCTGCTGAGGCTGACAGGGCCTTCAGTAACCTGAGGGAACTGTTCACCTCGGCACCGGTACTGGCCCACCCCGATCCATCACTACCGTTCGTAGTGGAGGTGGATGCGTCCGATGTTGGGATGGGAGCAGTCCTGTCTCAACGCTCGGGCACGCCACCCAAGCTCAGCCCCTGTGCGTTCTTCTCAAAGAAGCTCAGCCCGGCAGAGCAGAACTACGGCGTTGGTGATCGGGAGCTGTTGGCTGTTGTCCGAGCTCTGACAGTGTGGAGACATTGGCTCGAGGGGGCGAAACACCCATTCCTCGTCTGGACGGACCACCGTAACCTGGAGTACATCCGGGCAGCAAGGAGGCTGAACCCTCGCCAGGCCAGGCGGGCCTTATTCTTCACCCGGTTTGATTTCACACTGTCATACATCCCGGGTATGAAGAACGTGAAGGCAGACGCACTGTCCCGGCTGTATGATACAGAGGAGAGGCCCAGAGACAACACCCCCATACTGCCAGACTCCTGCATTGTGGCGCCAGTAGTATGGGCGATGGACACGGATATAGGGCAGGCATTACACACAGATCCATCTCCACCGCAGTGTCCAGCTGGGCTGCAGTACATGCCTGCGCTTATCCGTGATCGTCTGATCTACTGGGCACACACGTCACCCTCCTCTGGTCACCCAGGTATCGGTTGTACAGTGCGCTGCCTGACCGAAAAGTACTGGTGGCCTACCTTGGCTAAGGACGTGAGGGTGTATGTTTCCTCCTGCACACGTCTGTACCAGAGGATATAGTGTCTGACCGAAGTCCCCAGTTCACGTCAAAAGTCTGGAAGGCGTTCATGGAACGTCTGGGAGTCTCGGTCAGCCTGACCTCTGGGTTCCACCCTGAGAGTAATGGACAGGTGAAACGGGTTAATCAGGATGTGGGTAGGTTCCTGAGGTCCTATTGCCAGGACCGGCCGGGGGAGTGGTCGGTGTTCCTGCCATGGGCAGAATATGCCCAGAACTCTCTCCGCCACTCCTCTACGAACCTAACGCCATTTCAGTGTGTTTTAGGTTATCAACCAGTTCTGGCACCGTGGCACCAGAGACAGACCGAAGCTCCTGCGGTGGATGACTGGTTTCGGCGCGCGGAGGAGACGTGGAACGCTGACCATGTTCACCTCCTATGTGCCGTGCGTCGTCAGAAGGCCAACGCTGACCGTCACTGCAGTGAGGCCCCCGTCTTTGTACCAGGGGATCGGGTCTGGCTCTCGACCTGGAATCTGCCCCTCCGCCTGCCCTGCCGGAAGCTGAGCCCGCGGTTTGTAGGGCCGTTCAAAGTCCTGAGGAGAATCAACGAGGTCACATATAGGTTATTACTCCCCCTTATTACCGTATTAACCCCTCGTTTCATGTGTCTCTCCTCAGGCCGGTGGTGGCTGGTCCGCTCTAGGAGTCTGAGGTGCGGGAGGTCCCTCCACCTCCTTTGGACATCGAGGGGGCGCCGCCGTACTCTGTCCGGTCCATCCTGGATTCGAGGCGCCGGGTGGGGGGCCTTCAGTACCTCGTGGAGTGGGAAGGGTACGGTCCGGAGGAACGGTGCTGAGTCCCGGTGAGGGATATCCTCGATCCCTCTCTGCTGAGGGACTTCCATCTTCGCCATCCGACTCGCCCTGCTCCGCGTCCTCCTGGCTGTCCCCGAGGCCGGTGTCGGCACCCTACTGGAGCTGCGCGTCAAGGGGGGGGGGGGGGGGTACTGTCACAAATTCAGCCGAGGCTGCCCCTCCTCCTTGCTCGGGCAGGTTTCGGCGTTCGTCATCACCAGCTTACTAGCCACTACCGCTCCATTTATCATCACTCCATTTGTCTTGTTTTGTCTTGTCTTGTCAATCACACACACCTGGTACTCATTCCCTCATTAGTCTGTGTATAAGTGTTCCCTCTGCCCTTGTCCTTTGTGAGTGATTGTTCGTTGTGAGAGTGAGTAGCTCGGTTGAGTTACTTACAAGTTACTTACTTGTATGCAGCCAAGGTCCAGAGTTTAATCCGTTTGCATAAATCAAATGCCCCAAGCGTCAAACGAAACTGTACAAGGGAAAACATCCACCTTGGCAAATACACAGTGAAATGTAGCTCAACCAAGCTACACGCTCTCACAACAAAACAATCAATCACAAAGACAAGGGAAACAGAGGGAACACTTATACACATACTAATTAGGAGAATGAGCACCAGGTGTGTGTGATTGACAAGACATGACAAGTGGAGTGATGAGAATGGGATCGGCAGTAGCTAGTACTCCGGTGACGACGAACGCCGAAGTCTGCCCGAACCAGGAGGGGGGGCAGCCTCGGCGGAAGTCGTGACATCTTGATTTCAGTGTTTTACCTCCTGCGCCTGACACACACCTCATCACAATGATACACAAACACCCACACACACACATTTGTATTTGTATTGATTAGGGAACCCCATTAGCAACTGCTGCTACTCTTCCTGGGGTCCAAACATATTAAAGCACTTACATTATATATAAAACAAAAGATAAAAAAGTACATCATATAACATTATTACACCAATACATATCTATAATACAAAATGTTTAATACCACCATACAACAATATCACAATGTGTGCGTATGCATGTGTCTGTACCTTTGTGTGTGTCTTTTCACAGTCCCCGTTGTTCCATAAGGTGTATTTTTACCCGTTTTTTAAAATCTGATTCTATTGCTTGCATCAGTTACCTGATGTGGAATAGAGTTGACAGCTGGTGATGACAGCTGGTGATGTTGAATGGGCCGGACTCTCAAGCAGCCTCACGGTCTGATGAAGGTGGGAACTCTGAGGATCTGAACCCGAGGTAGAAGCCACTGGAGAGGGAGACAGAACAGAGGACGAAGTTGCAGGTCCAATCTTAAATGGGAAGCCCCTAAGGAAGAAGGCGCCGGAACCTCTGGATCCAGCGTGGCAAAGCCGTTTCTGATCTGTGTCAGGTCCGGGCTTAACATCTCCAAGGAGACCACGTACAGTGCTTTCAGCACTGGAAAAGCATTATTCATCCAACCAATCATGATCTCCAAGGAGACCCCGTTGCCAGAGGATGCTTTCTTCTATTTCCACGGCGAGTGACGTATCTCCATGGCTGGTTGGATGGGCCGAGAACAGCTCCGTTCTCCAGGGAAGGGGGAGATGGATCCCTGCTGCCGGCCAGTCGGCTGTGGAGAGCTGACACGGCGGCGACACTTCCACCAGACCAGAGCGGCGTCCGGCTACTGGGGTGGAAGAAAAATAAAAAGTAGGAGGGCGTGGATTCCCCAGTAAGCTTGTGTAGGTTTGCTACTTGCTTGCTAAGAGTAGCCACTTTGCCCCTGTAGTCCTCTGCAAGCAAGCAGTTGCTACATTGAAAGTCAGCACGGTCCACATTGTCCCGGAACAAAGCAAAATAAACACAGCTCCTGCAGCGCTGGAAACATTCAATAGCGACCTCCATTTGAGACCGCCGAGCCAGCTAGGTTAGCCAGGTTTCTGTGTCTCTCCCCCTATGCGGAATCTGGCAGGATCCCGGGACAGACAGCAGCGCTCACAGAAGCTAAGCCCAACAGAACCGCAGTCTCCAAAATAAAATAAAAGTATATCAAAACACTGTCAGCTTTACAAAAACAATAAACTGTGGTCTCTCGTTCAGGAATTTCATTCAGCTTTCAGCGTTCAACAACAAACAACATACGTCGCGCTCAGACGACCTGTCATTCGCACGCACAAACACAAAAATACACAAACCTACGTACACACACACCTACGAATGCATGCATACACACACACACGCCTACACACACAAACACAGACAACTATGCATGGATGGACGCATACCCACACGCACGCACAAACACACACCAATACAGATGTGAAGAGGGCACAACAACACCTCTTCCCCCTCAGGAGGCTGAAAAGATTTGGCATGGGCCCTCAGATCCTCAAAAAGTTATACAGCTGCACTATTGAGAGCATATTGACTGGCTGCATCACTGCTTGGTATGGCAACTGCTTGGCATCTGACCACAAGGCGCAACAGAGGGTACAGCCCAGAACATCACTGGGGCCGAGCTCACTGCAATCCAGGACCTCCATACCAGGCGGTGCCAGAGGAAGGCCCTTAAAATTGTAAAAGACTCCAACCACCCAAGTCATAGACTGTTCTTTCTGCTACCGCATGGCAATCGGTACCGATGCATCAAGTCTGGAACCAACAGGACCCTGAACAGGCCCCAAGCCATAAGACTGCTAAATTGTTTGTTAAATAGTTACCATATAGCTACCCAGACTATCTGCATGGACCCTTTTTGCACTAACTTTTTTGTCTCATCACATACGCTGCTGCTACTGTTTATTATCTGACACTTTATTCCTAGTTATATGTACATACCTACCTCAATTACCTCGTACCCCTGCACATCGACTCTGTACTGGTATATATATTTTCTTTCTCTCTGCATTGTTGGGAAGGGCCCGTAAGCATTTCACTGTTAGTCTACACCTGTTGTTTACCTAGCATGTTACAAATATTTTTGTTGTTGTTGATTTTATTTTATTTTATACACACACATTTCATAGTCTCCTAGGCTTTAAGTTGTACTTACTATTGACTATAGCGTTGGGAAGTATGGATGCCATGTTGGCCTGTTGGGGCAATAGTTGGATGGAGTCCAGCAATCTGGCCGGGTACATTCCCTCAGCGAGACCTGCATGGCTGACCACAGCAAACGCAGCTAGCTCCTCTCCTTCCATGATAGGTTTGGTTGTAGTGCACCAAAGTTGTCCACCTGTGAAAAAAAACATGGTGGAATTCAGCACTTCAATTCTAAATATGTGTTCTTCTTTGTAGTAATCAGGTAGACACTGTGTACGGATACTGTCTGAATATCAGTTAAAATGTGTATTGTAGAAAAAACACACTATGCCTGCAACAATACAGCAATGTTGTGTATGATGTATCATAAAGTATATGGTATGCTCTCTGCTTCAGTTAGCACACTGTACAATTGCTTAGGGCTTAGACGACATGATTTATAGGTCATATTCAGATACACTAGATTGAAAATGAATTAAATGAATTCTCTCTGTGCAAGTCAAACATGAGTAAAACCCATGTAGTCCACTTCACCGCATTCAATATACATCCTAGAACGAACACTTTTCATATGAAAGTCCTGGATAATGAAATTCTAGAAGCCTTGGCATAGAACATTCCACAGGAGTCCAGAGAACAAACTAATTAGGCAGAAGAACAAGAAAGGAGGGCTTTGGAGCCGTGATAACATTTATCTCTCTCCCAATGACAGCCTCTCCGTCTTTTAATATGACTATTTACAAAAGTCTGGCTGCCGAGATAACGAGCCAACCTTGATACTCTGGAGCTAAACACTAGAAGAAAGAGACAGGGTACTGACAGACCAGCTGGACAATGCTTCTGCTGGATTCTAGTACCTTTCCATTTGGAGATGTGCACGGCAAACACACAAAACAATCATACGCATGTGAATGGAGCTAGTATGATTGATTTCAGCTGAAGCCAGAGCCTTATGTTGAGAATATAAGGCTCTGACAATTGCTATTTCAACATTACGTGTACACGTTCACCCATTACATGTAATGTGATGTATTCACATAACCTTCAAATTATAATTGCAGGTGATTTCTTAGCAAGCTACTACATTTTGAAATATACTGTTTATAGTACCAAGTAAGAATTCAAATAAAATTGTGCCAATCACTTCTCAAAGCAAAGCAGCAACAGCAGCAATAAAGGTTTATAAAGGATGAAATTGGCCTGAGGAGGAGGGAATCAAAATGTTGTTTTTGTGTAAACAGCAAAAGTCTTTAATAGTCTGCTACAAAATGTGCAGTTTTGTAGCGCGTCAGCTGTGGTACTATGCCATCTGTCCACACACACTCACACGCACACGCACACGCACACACACACACACACACACACACACACACACACACACACACACACACACACACACACACACACACACACACACACACACACAAAGGCTATTCAAAGTTCACAATTAATTAGGTTGGAATTGAACCCTGAATCAGATGCTACAGTTAAATAACAGTTACTTTTCTCTGATCATAGAGCTATGCCAATGGTATTTAACTTATTACTAGTGGCCACTAATTTTCTCAACTTCGTCCCTCTCCTTGCCCCATTCTGGGCTCGAACCAGGGACCCTCTGAATACATCGATACTGTCAACCACGAAGCATCGATACCTATCACTCCACAAAACCCACAGTCCTTGTGGAGCAAGGGAAACAACTACTTCAAGGTCGTAGAGCCGGTGATGTCACCGATTTAACGCTACTTCTTGAAGTGGCGCCGGAGAAGATGGCTGCCGTTTTACAGCCCTCTAACCAATTTTACTATTATGTGTGTTTTTTCGCGTTATTTGTAATTTATTCTGTACATAATGTTTCTGCCATCGTCTCTTATGACCAAAAAGAGCTTCTGGATATCAGGACAGCGATTACTCACCTCGTATTGGACAAAGATTTTTTCTTCAATGAGCCGGACGCGAAGGATATCCTACAGACACCCGACAAGGCCAAAATCCCCGTCATTCGCATGAGAAAGAGGCAGAGATATCGTGGACATATGTCGGGGTGCATTGTAAGGATCCGACAGCGAGCAAGTAAACTGCCTCTTCCATCAATCCTATTAGCCAATGTTCAATCATTTGAGAACAAATTGGACGACCTAAGATTACGCTTATCCTACCAACGGGACATTAAAAACTGTAATATTTTATGTTTCACCGAGTTGTGGCTGAACGACAACATGGACAACATACAGCTGACGGGATATACACTACATCAGCAGGATAGAACGGCTGACTCCGGTAAGACAAGGGGTGGCGGTCTGTGTATATTTGTAAGCAACAGCTGGTGCACAAAATCTAATACTAAGGAAGTCTCGAGGTTTTGCTCGCCTGAGGTAGTGTATCTCATGATAAGCTGTAGACCACACTATTTACCAAGAGACTTTTCATCTATATTTTTCGTAGCTGTCTATCTACCACCACAAACCGATGCTGGCATTAAGATTGCACTCAATGAGCTGTATAAGGCCATAAGTAAACAGGAAAACGCTCATCCAGAGGCAGCGCTCCTAGTGGCCGGGGACTTTAATGCAGGGAAACTTAAATCCGTTCTACCTCATTTCTACCAGCATGTTAAATGTGCAACAAGAGGAAAAAAAACTCTAGACCACCTTTACTCCACACACAGAGATGCATACAAAGCTCTCCCTCGCCCTCCATTTGGCAAATCTGACCATAACTCTATCCTCCTGATTCCTGCTAATAAGCAAAAACTAAAGCAGGAAGCACCAGTGACTCGGTTAATAAAAAAGTGGTCAGATGATCCAGATGCTAAGCTACAGGACTGTTTTGCTAGCACAGACTGGAATATGTTCCGGGATTCTTTAGATAGCATTGAGGAGTACACCACATCAGTCACTGGCTTCATCAATAAGTGCATCGATGATGTCGTCCCCACAGTGACCATACGTACATACCCCAACCAGAAGCCGTAGATTACAGGCAACATCCACACTGAGCTAAAGGGTAGAGCTGCCGCTTTCAAGGAGCGGGACTCTAACCCGTACTACACCGGCTCTGACACTCGTCGGATGTGACAGGGCTTGAAAACTATTACAGACTACAAAAGGAAGCACAGCCGCGAGCTGCCCAGTGACACAAGCCTACCAGACGAGCTAAATCACTTCTATGCTCGCTTCGAGGCAAGCAACACTGAAGCATGCATGAGAGCATCAGCTGTTCCGGATGACTATGTGATCACGCTCTCCATAGCAGATGTGAATAAGACTTTTAAGCAGGTCAACATTCACAAGGCCGCAGGGCCAGACGGATTACCAGGAAGTGTACTCCGAGCATGTGCTGACCAACAGGCAAGTGTCTTCACTGACATTTTCAACATGTCCCTGACTGGGTCTGTAATACCAACATGTTTCAAGCAGACCAGCATAGTCCCTGTGCCCAAGGACACTAAGATAACCTGCCTAAATGACTACCGACCCATAGCACTCACCTCTGTAGCCATGAAGGGCTTTGAAAGGCTGGTCATGGCTCACATCAACACCATTATCCCAGAAACCCTAGACCCACGATTTGCATACCGCCCCAACAGATCCACAGATGATGCAATCTCTATTGCACTCCACACTGCCCTTTCCACCTGGACAAGAGGAACACCTACGTGAGAATGCTGTTCATTGACTACAGCTCAGCGTTCAACACCATAGTGCCCTCAATGCTCATCACTAAGCTAAGGATCCTGGGACTAAACACCTCCCTCTGCAACTGGATCCTGGACTTCCTGACGGGCCGCCCCCAGGTGGTAAGTGTAGGTAACAACACATCTGCCACGCTGATCCTCAACACGGGGGCCCCTCAGGGGTGCGTGCTCAGTCCCCTCCTGTACTCCATGTTCACCAATGGCCAGGCACAACTCCAACACCATCATTAAGTTTGCTGACGACACAACAGCGGTAGGCCTGATCACCGACAACGATGAGACAGCCTACAGTGATGGAAAAAATTATTTTATCCCCTGCTGATGTTGTATGTTTGCCCACTGACAAAATAAATGATCAGTCTATAATTTTAATGATAGGTTTATTTGAACAGTGAGAGACAGAATAACAACAAAAAAATCCAGAAAAACGCATATCAAAAATGTTATAAATTGATTTGCATTTTAATGAGGGAAATAAGTATTTGACCCCTCTGCAAAACATGACTTAGTACTTGGTGGCAAAACCCTTTCACCCAGTTCTCCTCTGAATCATTCAGATGTTCATTGGAAAACTTCAGACGGGCATGTATATGTGCTTTCTTGAGCAGGGGGACCTTGCGGGCGCTGCAGGATTTCAGTCCTTCACGGCGTAGTGTGTTACCAATTGTTTTCTTGGTGACTACGGTCCCAGCTGCCTTGAGATCATTGACAAGATCCTCCCGTGTAGTTCTGGGCTGATTCCTCACCGTTCTCATGATCATTGCAACTCCACAAGGTGAGATCTTGCATGGAGCCCCAGGTCGAGGGAGATTGACAGTTATTTTGTGTTTCTTCCATTTGCGAATAGTTGCACCAACTGTTGTCACCTTCTCACCAAGCTGCTTGGCGATGGTCTTGTAGCCCATTCCAGCCTTGTGTAGGTCTACAATCGTGTCCCTGACATTCTTGGAGAGCTCTTTGGTCTTGGCCATGGTGGAGAGTTTGGAATCTGATTGATTGATTGCTTCTGTGGACAGGTGTCTCTTATACAGGTAACAAGCTGAGATTAGGTGTGCTCCTAATCTCAGCTCGTTACCTGTATAAAAGACACCTGGGAGCCAGAAATCTTTCTGATTGAGAGGGGGTCAAATACTTATTTCCCTCATTAAAATGCAAATCAATTTATAACATTTTTTACATGCGTTTTTCTGGATTTTTGTTGTTGTTATTCTGTCTCTCACTGTTCAAATAAACCTACCATTAAAATTATAGACTGATCATTTCTTTGTCAGTGGGCAAACGTACAAAATCAGCAGGGGATCAAATACTTTTTTTCCCTCACTGTATATATGTACAGTATATATGTGTGTGTGTGTGTGTTTGTATGTGTGTATATATATATATATATATATATATATATATATGCGATGAAAAAAAACATATGGGGGATTGGAAGTGATGCAGACAATTACATTGATGGAAGTTACAATCTATCTGAAATATTAAAGCTGATCTACCCCTAAAAAAAAAAAAAAAATGTTTCACTGTAATACCTGTTGTATTCGGCGCATGTGGAATATAAAATTTGATTTGATGTGACTAGCCCACACCGCTAACTAGCTAGCCATTTCACATCGGCAACACTCACCCCCCTTTGACCTCCTCCTTCTCCGCAGCAACCCCAGCAGTCGGACAGAGCCCAACTGAGTGATTCAGGTCACGGCACCAATGTAACAGTGTTGCTTCCCCCTCTCCTTGCCCCATCCTGGGCTCAAACCCGGGACCCTCTGAACACATCGACAACCTTCACCCACACGGAGCAAGGGAATACTACTTTATGGTCTTAAAAGAGGTGACTTCACCACTTGAACGCTACTAGCGTGCACCGCTAACTAGCTAGCCTAAACCAACCAAATGCATTTTTACAGATGCCTGTTTAGTCATAAAAAGCAAGAGATCATAAATATTACCATTAATCACAATGATTATGCAAAATATATTGGAAAACATTAAAACTTCATTCATACATTTGATTGGAAAATAGGCGTGGGGAAAACATAAAAGAATCCTAGTAGTTAGGTTACTGTTTGTCTCTCTGGGAAATATGCAAATAAGGCTTTACGCTAAGCAGTGTGTTAATTTAACACTGAAAAGGGTGGACCCGTATAGACACTGGACCAGTGTTCAATTTAACACTCTCAGTGTTGATTTAACACTGGAGATTTTGCTGTGTACTCAACTAATGGGCTCTTTTCTTTGTATGTGATCTCAGATCTGTGAGCAGGATGGCAGTGGCACTTTAGCTGTAATTAAATTTCTCAACTTGAACTGGGCTGTATAAATCAAACACCCTTCTGAGAGTGCAGTGCAGAAAAACATCCACTATCTGCAACGATTGTAGCAGTTGATCAAGAGGTGACACCTCTTCTCCACAAGATGGCGTTCTCTCCATGGATCACTGTTACCACACTGCACTTCGTCATAAACAAGTGTTCAGCAATGAGATGAGAATTAAGAGTATCTCGAAACCTTATTAGTATCTGATTTGTCTCTAATTCATAATTTTCTTGCTCATATACCATAATCAATTGCATCCTCAGTTTGTGAATCCAGATTACACAGAGATTCACATGGCATTAGACATACCATAGCATACAGAGGGGAGTAGCCTAACATTCCACACCTTTGAGAGTTAAGCTTTAACATGAGTCACTTTTTACATAGTATTGGACTATTAAAACCAGTGTTAAATGGACACTACAGTGGTAATAGGCTACCCTTGCTACTTTGTTATGATTAGCTCCCGAGGAGACCTAAGCCTTTTATGTCCAAGGATCTATTAAATTGGAACTCAGAACACTAAAACTATGCTTCAGAGTGCAGTTTCCCTTTGCTTGAACCATAAATCAAAAGTTTGTACTGAGAACATAACAACAACAACCTCCATTAGTGAAGATGGGACTGCATGGTTTCCAGGAGGTGGGAGGGTGGGGCGTAGCCATTCTGTCATCGTGGCTCGGTCTCTGAACCCCCCTCCACTCCCCCTCCAGCCAACCTGCACCCCCCTGGTATCAGCACGCTGCCATCTGCGCCCCGCACCTGTGTCCTCATTGATCGCAAAGCCAGAGTACTAGAACAAACAGACGGCGGAAGCAACTGAACATCCGCTACAATCCCAGGGCCAGGACGCTTGTTTAGGGGCAACGCACCTGAGCATAAAGGTGGCAAGGTGAGAGACATATATGCACATTTCATATTCATATTTATATTCTGTCCTACAGATGGGTGGGGCAGGGGGGTGGGGGTGCAGTGAGTTTTGAGGGTCTTGACGCATATGCCCCAAAATTCAACCTGTGTCCAATTTTCTCCTTTTTTGTTGGAAGAGCGAGTTGAGGGAGTTGAGGGAGTTTCTTGACGGACAGTTATTGGTGTGGGTAACCAGTTGCTGTCAGCCTGCTTTACTGTCTGGAAGAGCTAAGCTCCTGCAAAGTGACAGTCAGACAGACAGTCCTCTCCTAGTCTCCAACTAACTCTTGTCTTCTTCCAAAGACCCAGAGCCAACAAATGTCCACTTCCTTCTAATTTAACATTTAGGACTGTGAAAACAGCTTCCAACTGTGTTCTGTAGATCAAAAGTTATGTATGGTTATTTTCCAGTGACCCTGAGCTTCTCTCATGATTGCTTTCAGAGAACCATGTGTAGAAGCCATGTGTAGAATGGCTGCTGCAAGCAATGACCCCCTTGCAGAGTTGGACGATTACAACTTTTATCAAGTTTTGTTGAATGATCAGAATCAGAATCACCTTTAATCGCCAAGTACATTTACACATACCCGGAATTTGACTTAGTGAGAAGGTGCTGCCAGCAATAGACAATATACAAACAGAATGCACAGAATACAAAATCGGAACAGTAAACATAAAACATAAAACCCCGGAGTATAGGCTGATTAGTTTGTCAGTTTTGTTGGACCTGGCTCCCAAGTGGCTGTGCCCCTGCCTAGTCTTATGAAATGCATAGATTAGGGCCTAATTTATTTATTTCAATTGACTGATTTCCTTCTATGAACTGTAACTCAGTAAAAGCTTTGAAATTGTTGCATGTTGTGTTTATATAATTTTCCAGTATAGTAATGCTGCATACCCAAAGAAAGGTTCAAATCTCACCTTTCTGGTAAAAATAGTTATAAATTGCTCTGAGGTGTAGTCACTTTTGAAGACACAAGCTCAAGTACACAGTACAAATATGGTAGAAATATGAAAATATTATATTTTATATGATTTATTTCCTATTCAACAAAACTATGAATCAGGCTTGAAATGACTTACAGTATGTGCTTTCTAAATACAGCATAATCAAATTATAAAACTATTAACTATAATATTTCACTTTCCTTATAACTGTAAAATACATTTTTTTATATTTAGAGAAAATGTGAATATTTTCTAAAGGTCTCTCTTGATCAAAAGGTCAGCCACCATCATTGTGAACTTTTTACAGAGCTCTAGCTTGGCTTCCTGAGCCTGTTCATCTTATATTAAACTTGTCCATCTATGACAAACAGGAAGTGTGTTTTGTTTAAAATCGATATCAATTATTTTAGATGAATGGCTATAAATCGATCTCTGAATGTGCTACCATGATGAAATCGCTCTCTCCTGCTGCACTATGATGTAACGATTGTAGGCATGTGCTTTGTCTGTGGCTGCGATGTAGGGTAAAAACCTAAAAACAATGTGAACAGAGAAACATATTCACCAGATCCACATATTAGTCCAATAGGGGTAGAATAGATATTGGTAGAGAGTTTCAAATAATGACAGAAAAATGACCTATTCTTGTTGACCTTTGGATGGTCTTTTAAAAGTTGGTCAAAACACTCCACTGAAAGGTTCTAAATTCCTGCTTTTAATTTCAAAACGAGCTAAATAAATAACAATACATACAGTTGAAGTCGGAAGTTTACACCTTAGCCAAATACATTTAAACTCAGTTTTTCACAATTCCTGACATTTAATCCTAGTAAAAATTCCCTGTCTTAGGTCAGTTAGGATCACCACTTTATTTTAAGAATGTGAAATGTCAGAATAATAGTAGAGAGAATAATTTATTTCAGCTTTTATTTATTTTCATCAATTTGTATTTGGTAGCATTGCCTTTAAATTGTTAAACTTGGGTCAAACGTTTTGGGTAGCCTTCCACAAGCTTCCTCCAAACAGAACTGGTGTAACTGAGTCAGGTTTGTAGGCCTCCTTGCCTTGATTTTGTTGTCCTTAAGCCATTTTGCCACAACTTTGGAAGTATGCTTGGGGTTATTGTCCATTTGGAAGACCCATTTGCGACCAAGCTTTAACTTCCTGACTGTTGTCTTGAGATGTTGCTTCAATATATTCACATAATTTTCCTTCCTCATGATGCCATCTATTTTGTGAAGTGCACCAGTCCCTCCTGTAGCAAAGCACCCCCACAGCATGATGCTGCCACCCCCGTGCTTCACGGTTGGGATGGTGTTCTTCGGCTTGCAAGCTACCCCCTTTTTCCTCCAAACATAACGATGGTCATTATGGCCAAACACTTCTATTTTTGTTTCATCAGACCAGAGTACATTTCTCCAAAAAGTATGATATTTGTCCCCATGTGCAGTTGCAAACCGTAGTCTGGCTTTTTTAAGGCGTTTTGGAGCAGTGGCTTCTTCCTTGCTGAGCGGCCTTTCAGGTTATGTCGATATAGGACTTGTTTTACTGTGGATATAGATACTTTTGTACCTGTTTCCTCCAGCATCTTCACAAGGTCCTTTGCTGTTGTTCTGGGATTGATTTGCACTTTTCGCACCAAAGTACGTTATCTCTAGGAGACAGAACGCGTCTCCTTCCTGAGCGGTATGACGGCTGCGTGGTCCCATGGTGTTTATACTTGCATACTATTATTTGTACAGATGAACGTGGTACCTTCAGGCGTTTGGAAATTGCTCCCAAGGATGAACCAGACTTGTGGAGGTCTAACATTTTTTTCTGAGGTCTTGGCTGATTTCTTTTGATTTTCCCATGATGTCAAGCAAAGAGGCACAGAGTTTGAAGGTAGGCCTTGAAATACATCCACAGATACATCCACAGGTTGACTCAAATTATGTCAATTAGCCTATCAGAAGCTTCAAAAGCCATGACATCATTTTCTGGAATTTTCCAAGCTGTTTAAAGGCACAGTGAACTTAGTGTATGTAAACTTCTGACCCACTGGAATTGCGATACAGTGAATTATAAGTGAAATAATCTGTCTGTAAACAATTGTTGGAAAAATGACTTGTGTCATGCACAAAGTAGATGTTCTAACCGACTTGCCAAAACTATAGTTTGTTAACAAGAAATTTGTGGAGTGGTTGAAAAACGAGTTTTAATGACTCCAACCTAAGTGTATGTAAACTTCCGACTTCAACTGTAGCTTTCTTCTGTTCTTCTGATTAATTTACCACTGACCAGGGACGGCCTGTTCAATAGGGCGATATGGGCGACGCACTGCCAAACGGGAAAAGGAAGGGATTTTTTTCTAATCAATTATATCACGGCAACAGTACTAGTTATCAGTGTTCTAATCTGATCTGACTGCCACTAAATGTCAAATCAGGCTAAAGTCGTGCTTCAAATGGCCCCGCCCGTTTTTGGGGCGATTTCAGTCAGGTTGAAAATCGCCCAGAAGTCTCTCATAGCCTGTCATGTAAAATCTATTTTTTTCAAATTTCAAAGCTTTCAATACATTCTCTATGGGTGTCTGTGGGCTTGCACTTACGCGCTTTCGTCATACGTGACGTAACCATGAACGTAACTAAGAAAATAGCAGCTAGCAGCGTCTCTGTTGCGACCTGCAGTGTGGCGTTATTTTATGTTTTTAATTTGTAGACTTAGTTTACAAACATTCTGCCAACCATGGATTTTTACAGTGGTGGGTTTTGGACTGATCTTGTTGATCGTGTACATACCCGCTACGAACGGACTAAATAATGAAAACGCTGCTGGCAGCGGAATCCAATACAGCTGGGAGACTTGGCTGGATGACAGAGTCCCGGACAGAGAAGTGGAGCCGGCCGGCTTCACCCTGGTCAGAGCGGACCGCGATCCTGGTAAGAGAGCGACTCTGTACCCCTCGACATTGAACTGCTTTCTGTGTCACTGCGACCTTACTATCTGCCCCGTGAGTTCCCCCAATTGTTTGTTACCGTTGTGTACTGTTGATAATCACAAGTTTACTGGAGAACTGAGACCAAGTAGAGACTTTGGACAGGGTGGATATGGTATAATAAAGGCAGTTTATTCAGAGGTAAAGATATCTGGAATCGCGTGCACGGACCCGTTTGTCAAACTCTTAGGGAGCTATCTGAAGAGAGCCCCGAAAACATTGTGTGCAGACATTTTATACAATAAATGATGTAGGTTGAATCTAGTAGTTCTGATCTTCTGATTGGTCCTGATGAGTTGGGCGAGGTCCCCTCCACTGTTGCATTGGCTCTGAGTCGGGTTCTCTGTCTTCAAATGTTCAGCCTAAAGAGAGGGGATTTTTGTGTGTGTGTGTGTGTGTGTTTAACAGTGATGATGTGTGTGTGTGTGTGTGTTATCAGTGATGATGTGTGTGTGTGTGTGTGTGTGTGTGTGTGTCCTCAGAGCAAGAACTCGTGAGTTGGAAGAACTGAGAGACCTATGGCGTGGGTGTTGTCCTTGGCCACCTGCTGACAAGGCTGACAAGATAGGACTCTTTTGTCCATTGTTATAGGATAGGAACAGCATTGATTGAAAACAAACGCCCAACACAAAATGGGTCATGCACAAGATTTTAGTCAGACCAAGCTATAACATTATATATTTACTACGACAGTACATTCAACCAAAAGCTAATATAACAAAGGCATCAGAGATTATTTATAATCTGTCACAGAAACTGGAATCCATCTCCCCAGATCAGTCAATAAATGCTTCTGGTATTGACTTATATGCTGCCCCTGTCTTCATGTTGTTGCTGGACATATCTTTTTTAAAATGTGTGTAGGTCACCTAAATCATCAGAAAAATTGCCCCTCCTGAGAATTTTTTCAGGAGCCGCCACTGCCACTGACGTATGGAATCAGTATAAAACCCTCACAAACAGCTAAATAAATATGAGCAGATTATCCACCCCATTATCCTCCTCTAGTCCTCACACCCTGAATCCCCCAAGCATTCTGTAATGGAAAGCAATGTCTCTCACTTAACACACGGATCCAGACGCTCCCTATGATAGAGACCCAGGCAGCTCTGTTTATTAATGATGGAATTTGGAATGTTGGCGCAACGCAGAACGTTATCGGCCCCCAAACAATCCCCGCTGTCAATGGTTCCAACCCTGACAGGCTAGCCCAGTGCCTCATTAGCCCAGGCATATCTCAACCAGAAGTTTATTATCAAATGTGACACCTGCATCTCCGAATGGCACTTCCGCCTTCATTGGTATGTATTTGGGTGAGCGGTCTCCAAGGTGCTTTGTGGAGATTAAGAGGGAGAAAAACAGGTAGTGAGAGAATGAATGCTTATTTTATCATTTAGCAGGTCTGGACTGAATCCAAAGGAGTTTTGTCCCGTTGTTGTAATTAGAAAGACGTTTAAGTGATAACACAGCTGCTGGAGGAATATGAATATGGAGAGAGTGCGGCAGAGCTGCCTGAACCCTTCCAACCTCACTATGCACTCCCTCCATTTTTGGCAAATGCTTATTTTTCCAAACAGCAGAGGCTGCGGGAAGGGGGGCTGGGGGAGAAAACTTGAAGGCAGTAATTTTGATTGAAGTTATTCTGAGCTACTGTTTGAATTAATGAGTGTCATGTTTGAGGCATTTATGCCGTGACATTTCTGACAGGTATCCACATGATATTTCCATGGAAGAGTGTGCAATTACACTGAACAAAAAAAGTAAACGCAACATGCAACAATTTCAAAGAATTTACTGAGTTACAGTTCATATAAGGAAATCAGTCAATTGAGTGTGCAGCTGAACACTGTATGCGGAAACACTTGGTTTGTTATTTTTGACTAAAACATAACAAATATTCAATAAATATAAATACCGAACTTGATTTTGCATGGATTCCACAACGAGGTTAGCTTTTAACATCTAGGAGCACTATTTCTTGTCCCGGAATCGCTCTTAACAGACAGGTTGAAGCCTGCTTGACAGAGATGCTAAGCTGCTAGCCATCAAACTAAGGAAGTTAGTCCCAGATGAGTTTTGCAATGGAGTCCTCTTTGTCTGGATAAATAAATGAATGGTTCCAGTGCTGTAGGAGCTGCATCTACTATGCTTTGTTTCGGAACAAACCGGATCACTCAGAGTTCCAATGCGGCAATTGTTTGCTTGCCGAGGATTATAGGCTTGAGGTGGCTTCCTTGAAAACGCAGAGTGGAATGTTGACCTTTTCTATGCCGGTGGCTAAACGGCGTTTGCGCTTGTTGGATGCATCTCCGCCTTGTCGTTTGTCGTTATCCAACTGGCTGGTGTTGCCCGTAGCTCCCCCATTTGATAGCGGAGTCGAAGGAGCAGAGCAAGAGGAGCATGGCAATCAATGATGGTCGCATGTCACGAGCCGTGGAAGCCGAAGACAGCAGCCTTCTGCAAAGCAGTCTACACTCCCAACGAGAGGCCCAGAGCTGATACAAACAACAAATAGTTTCACCGTCCTGGAGCCTGATCTTCCTGCACCTTCATCGCTGGGGGTACCTGTGTCTGCGGACGCAGTGCCTACTCCTACGATTTCGAAGTCGACATCGGCAACCTTCAGTCCCTGATCTGGATCGAGCGGGGCTTCTCAATCTGTAGGAGGCCTGCACCAGGCGCCGGGAGCAACGGGCTCAAGTTATCCTGCCTCTCGCCCATCCATAAAGGGTTCTCAGAATCCTGTGAAGCATGGGAGTGGGCGGATTTCCTTGTCCTTCTCGCCAGCTGTGATTTTGGGCAGCTCCATGGTAAGAAATGTGACCGTTCCTGGTGCAAAAACAATGTCCTATCCCGGAGCTTGAGTAAATGACATTACTAAGCTGCTCCTGAATGTACTACGTCAGAACATGGAAATCGATTCTATTGTAGTCCATGTGGGTTTTAATTACATTATGAAGGGCAGCTCTGAACAGTTGAAACTGGATTTTAAAGAGACTCTCTGCTAGACACTAACAAAAGACCCTTCATATCTGGCCCTATGCCCTCTCTGAAACGTGGCATTGAACGCTTTAGCAGGATTAATTCTCTTTACAACTGGCTACGTGATTATTGCAGCTCAACGGGTGTAACTTTTGTTTACAATTTTGACACATTTTGGAAACAAAACACATTTTATAAGGACGATGGGATCCATCCAAATAATTTGGGTTCCTGGATCCTTTCGCAGCATTATAAGGCTGAATTGAGAAACTGACGTATCAATGACCCAAGCCCAGCTCAGTTAATCCCTACCATTGTGACGCTGAGTTGTCAAAAGGCTTCAGCAAATGTACATTATACCAGGGGCGTTGGAAGACACAATGTAAGTAACCTAATTTATGTCCCTCTAACTGCCCTGAATGCCTCTGCTGATCCTACAGCTTTTGTATGCAGTAATCATGTGCCTATGAATTAGATTTATACTGTTAGCACTGAGGCGTTGCACTGAGGCGTTGTGCTCTAGTAGGAAGTCCACTGTGTGCAGCTCACCCTCCGCTGGATTGATGAAGAATTTAACAATTGTATGGTTGAGAGGGATGAGGCAAAAGGAATGGCAAATAAGTCTGGCTGCACAACCGATTGGCATACGTATTACAAATTGAGAAATCATGTGACTAAACTGAATAAAAAGAAGAAGAAGAAACTAAACTATGAAACAAAGATAAATGACATAAAGAATGATAGTAAAAAGCGTTGGAGCACTTTAAATGAAGTTTTGGGCAAAAAGGCAAACTCAGCTCCATCATTCATTGAATCAGATGGCTCATTCATCACAAAACCGACTGATATTGACAACTACTTTAATAATTTAGCAAATTTAGGCATGACATGCCAGTAACAAACGCTGACAGTACACATCCAATTATATCTCACCAAATTGTGAAAGACAAGCATTGTAATTTTGAATTCCGTAAAGTGAGTGTGGAAGAGGTGAAAAAGTTATTGTTGTCTATCAACAATGACAAGCCACCGGGGTCTGACAACTTGGATGAAAAATTACTGAGGATAATAGCGGACGATATCGCCACTCCTATTTGCCATATCTTCAATCTAAGCCTACTAGAAAGTGTGTGCCCCTAGGCCTGGAGGGAAGCAAAAGTAATTCCGCTACCTAAAAATAGTAAAGCCCCTTTTACTGGCTCAAATAGCCGACCAATCAGCCTGTTACCAACCCTTAGTAAACTTTTGGAAAAAATGGTGTTTGACCAGATACAATGCTATTTTACAGTAAACAAATTGACAACAGACTTTCAGCATGCTTAAAGGGAAAGACATTCAACAAGCACTTACACAAATGACTGAGAAATTGATGATAAAAAGATAGTGGGGGCTGTTTTGTTACACTTCAGTGTGGCTTTTGACATTATCGATCATAGTCTGTTTCTGGAAAAACGTATGTGTTATGGCTTTACACCCCCTGCTATTTGTGGATAAAGAGCTACCTGTCTAACAGAAAACAGAGGGTGTTCTTTAATGGAAGCCTCTCCAACATAATCCAGGTAGAATCAGGAATTCCCCAGGGCAGCTGTCTAGGCCCCTTACTTTTTTCAATCTTTACTAGCGACATGCCACTGGCTTTGAGTAAAGCCAGTGTGTCTATGTAGGCGGATGACTCAACACTATACACGTCAGCTACTACAGCAACTGAAATGACTGCAACAATTAACAAAGAGCTGCAGTTACTTCCAGAGTTGGAGGCAAGGAATAAGTTAGTCCTAAATATTTCTAAAACTAAAAGCATTGTATTTGGGACAAGTCATTCACTAAACCCTAAACCTCAACTAAATCGTGTAATACATCATGTGGATTTTGAGCAAGTTGAGTTGACTAAACTGCTTGGTGTAACCCTGGATTGTAAACTGTCATGGTCAAAACATATTGATACAACAGTAGCTAAGATGGGGAGAAGTCTGTCCATAATAAAGCGCTGTTCTACCTTCTTAACAGCACTATCAACAAGGCAGGTCCTACAGGCCCTAGTTTTGTCGCACCTGGGCTACTGTTCAGTCGTGTGGTCAGGTGCCACAAAAGGGAGCTCAAATTAATACTATGCATGTCAATCTCTCCTGGATCAAAGTGGAGGAGAGATTGACTTCATCACTACTTGTATTTATGAGAGGTATTGACATGTTGAATGCACCGAGCTGTCTGTTTGAACTACTGGCGCACAGCTCGGACACCCATGCATACCCCACAAGACACGCCACAAGAGGTCTCTTCACAGTCCCCAAGTCCAGAACAGACTATGAGAGGCGCACAGTACTACATAGAGCCATGACTACATGGAACTCTATTCCACATCAAGTAACTGGTGCAAGCAGTAACATTTGATTTAAAAAAAACCAGATACAAATACACCTTATGGAACAGCAGGGATATTACTTACCTTAATTTTGCTGGACCCCAGGAAGAGTATCTGCTGCCTTGGCATAATAAATACAAATTTAAATAAATAAATTAGGCCCTAATGTATGGATTTCACAACCGTTAATACATATTGTAAAGTGGTTATCCCACTGGCTGTAAGGTGAATGCACCAATTTGTAAGTCGCTCTGGATAAGAGCGTCTGCTAAATGACGTAAATGTAAATGTAAATGTACATATATGTATCACAGATATCATTAAAAAAGAGGTAGGTGCGTGGATCAGCAAACCAGTCTGTATCTGGTGAGACCCCCATTTGCCTCACGCAGCGCAACACATTTCCTTTGCATAGAGTTGATCAGGTTGTTGATTGTGGCCTGTGGAATGTTGTTCCACTCTTCAATGGCTGTGCGAAGTTGCTGGACATTGGCAGGAACTGGAACACGATGTCGTACACATCGATCCAGAGCATCCCAAACATGCTCAATGGGTGACATGTCTGGTGAGTATACGGGCCATGGAAAAACTTGAACATTTTCAGCTTCCAGGAATTGTGTACAGATCCTTCCGACATGGGGCTGTGCATTATCATGCTGAAACATGAGGTGATGGCGGCAAATGAATGGCACGACAATGGGCCTCAGGATCTCGTTCCGGTATCTCTGTGCATTCAAATTGCCATCGATAAAATACAATTGTGTTCGTTGTTCATAGCTTATGCCTGCCCATACCATAACCCCACTGCCACCATGGGGCACTCTGTTCACAACTTTGACATCAGCAAACCGCTCGCCCACACGACACCATACGGTGTTCTGCGGTTGTGAGGCCGGTTGGACGTACTGCCAAATTCTCTAAAACAACATTGGAGGCGGCTTTTGGTAGAGATACAGTGGGGGAAAAAAGTATTTAGTCAGCCACCAATTGTGCAAGTTCTCCCACTTAAAAAGATGAGAGAGGCTTGTAATTTTCATCATAGGTACACGTCAACTATGACAGACAAAATGAGAAAAAAAATGTATTTGCAAATTATGGTGGAAAATAAGTATTTGGTCAATAACAAAAGTTTCTCAATACTTTGTTATATACCCTTTGTTGGCAATGACACAGGTCAAACATTTTCTGTAAGTCTTCACAAGGTTTTCACACACTGTTGCTGGTATTTTGGCCCATTCCTCCATGCAGATCTCCTCTAGAGCAGTGATGTTTTGGGGCTGTCGCTGGGCAACACGGACTTTCAACTCCCTCCAAAGATTTTCTATGGGGTTGAGATCTGGAGACTGGCTAGGCCACTCCAGGACCTTGAAATGCTTCTTACGAAGCCACTCCTTCGTTGCCCGGGCGGTGTGTTTGGGATCATTGTCATGCTGAAAGACCCAGCCACGTTTCATCTTCAGTGCCCTTGCTGATGGAAGGAGGTTTTCACTCAAAATCTCACGATACATGGCCCCATTCATTCTTTCCTTTACACGGATCAGTCGTCCTGGTCCCTTTGCAGAAAAACAGCCCCAAAGCATGATGTTTCCACCCCCATGCTTCACAGTAGGTATGGTGTTCTTTGGATGCAACTCAGCATTCTTTGTCCTCCAAACACGACGAGTTGAGTTTTTACCAAAAAGTTATATTTTGGTTTCATCTGACATTCTCCCAATCCTCTTCTGGATCATCCAAATGCACTCTAGCAAACTTCAGACGGGCCTGGACATGTACTGGCTTAAGCAGGGGGACACGTCTGGCACTGCAGGATTTGAGTCCCTGGCGGCGTAGTGTGTTACTGATGGTAGGCTTTGTTACTTTGGTCCCAGCTCTCTGCAGGTCATTCACTAGGTCCCCCCGTGTGGTTCTGGGATTTTTGCTCACCGTTCTTGTGGTCATTTTGACCCGACGGGGTGAGATCTTGCGTGGAGCCCCAGATCGAGGGAGATTATCAGTGGTCTTGTATGTCTTCCATTTCCTAATAATTGCTCCCACAGTTGATTTCTTCAAACCAAGCTGCTTACCTATTGCATATTCAGTCTTCCCAGCCTGGTGCAGGTCTACAATTTTGTTTCTTGTGTCCTTTGACAGCTCTTTGGTCTTGGCCATAGTGGAGTTTGGAGTGTGACTGTTTGAGGTTGTGGACAGGTGTCTTTTATACTGATAACAAGTTCAAACAGGTGCCATTAATACAGGTAACGAGTGGAGGACAGAGGAGCCTCTTAAAGAAGAAGTTACAGGTCTGTGAGAGCCAGAAGTCTTGCTTGTTTGTAGGTGACCAAATACTTATTTTCCACCATAATTAGCAAATAAATTCATTAAAAATCCTACAATGTGATTTTTTTTTTCCTCAATTTGTTTGTCATAGTTGACGTGTACCTATGATGAAAATTACAGGCCTCTCTGATCTTTTTAAGTGGGAGAACTTGCACAATTGGTGGCTGACTAAATACTTTTTTTCCCCCACTGTATGAACATTAAATTCTCTGGTAGTCAGCATACCAATTGCATGCTCCCTAAAACTTGAAACATCTGTGGCATTGTGTTGTGTGACAAAACTCCACATTTTAGAGTGGCCTTTTATTGTCCCCAGCACAAGGTGCACCTATGTAATGATCATGCTGTTTAATCCGCTTCTTGATATGCCACACCTGTCAGGTGGATGGATTATCTTGGCAAAGGAGAAATTCAAACTAACAGGGATGTAAACAAATTAGTGGCAAAAAATTGAGAGATATGAGCGTTGGAAAATGTCTGTGATCTTTTATTTCAGCTCATGAAACATGGGACCAACACTTTACATGTTGTGTTTATATTTTTGTTCAGTATAATTAAGTCACATGACATGATGCTCAACCAGCACTCCACATGGTTCCTGACAGGTGTATGATGCTAGCTTAGACTTGGAGTAAATGGAGTCCTAGCAAACATGATTCCTTGTCACTTAAAAGCTGGTATAAAAAAACTGCGGATGTAAGGGAAATTCTTAAAAGCGGGCTGCTGAGAGTTACTACCACAGCTCACATACTCAGTGGTGCTAATCAGAGACTTTTCCTGGCTCACCCCCTTGCCAGCCAAAGCTCATAAATAAGAAGGAGATGCAGAGCAGAGCAGACTGCAGGGATGATGATGCCACGTGATTGCCATTTATTGCAAATTCTGTTATTATCTGACAGGCAGGAAGCTACACTATATATACGAAAGTATGTGGGCACCACTTCAAATTAGTGGATTTGGCTATTTCAGCCACACCCCTTGCTGACAGGTGTATAGAATCAAGAATACAGCCATGCAATCTCCATTAACAAACATTGGCAGTAGAATGGCCTTACTGAAGAGCTCAATGACTTTTAACGTTGCACCATCATATGATGCCACCTTTCCAACAAGTCAGTTCGTCAAATTTCTGCGCTGCTAGAGCTGCCCTGGTCAACAGTAAGTGCTGTTATTGTGAAGTGGAAACGGCTAGGAGTGACAACAGCTCAGCCGCGAAGTGGTAGGCCACACAAGCTCACAGAACGGGACCGCCGAGTGCTGAAGCGCGTAGCGTGTAAAAATCGCCTGTCCTTGGTAGCAACACTCACTCCCGAGTTCCAAACTGCCTCTAGAAGCAACGGCAGCACAAGAAGGTGTTTGTCGGGAGCTTCATGAAATGGGTTTCCATGGCCGAGCAGCCGCAACCCCATCGAACACCTTTGGGATGAATTGGAACGCTGACTGCAAGCCAGGCCTAATCACCCAACATCAGTGCCCGATGCAAGTCCCTGCAGCAATGTTCCAACATCTAGTAGAAAGCCTTCCCTGAAGAATGGAGGCTGTTATAGCAGCAAAGGTGGGACCAACTCCACTTTTGGTCATGTAGTGTATTTCTGCTCTGATCATTTACAGTCAAACAGAGACTGGCCAGGTTTACTCTCAGGGTGTCGGTATACTATACTATACTATACTATACTTTTCTGGGGCCACGGTTGGTGCAGAAGGTTGTAAAGTTGATTGTGGGTAGAGGATACATCATTTGATCTATGGCATCTAGTTACTGTATAAGCCCTGGCTCCTGTTTGATTACAGCAAGGATGTAGCCCTGGTTAGTAGGTCCTTGGTTAGTGTAACCAGTAACACTATGATCAAATTGAGGCACATGTGGCACATCATTATGTTCCTGGAAATATAATTCTTATGTTTTAGTTTTTCATAATTTAAACAGAAGAGGTGGTACTGTAGCATATTCATGCACACAGATATTTTCAATGGCGTTTAAAAATGACCTATTTTGAGGTAAGGAGGAATGCTCTGGAACACTTAAAAAGAGGGATATGCATGATGTATAATAAAAGACAAAGCACATCATCATCTTTGTGTGGTTAAAAAAAGGAAAGAGTGAAATACAAAGAGAGAGAGGCATCCTCCGTTCCTGAAAAGCTTAAGGGATCACTCCTCCTGTCCTGTCAGATACTTTCCTCCTTCTCTCCCTCCCTTCTTCCCTCCCTCCATCCAGGATGGTTGCCCATCTCTGATATCTGTGCCAGTAGGATTCCTGTTGGGCCTGTTACTTTTCACTCCATCTGCCAGGATCTCTGGGGCTGTTACTTCTCACTTCCTCATCAAAGTGTGGGAGTGTGATAGCAAAACATTGATATCAAACTTCTACAACATCCAAGATCCAATAAGACGTTTAACTGCAAAACACAGCTGCACCATAATGTATTACCTATATATGTACGTAATATAGACCCACTACTGCACCCACTAATTAGACCCAGTTCTACAACATCCAAAATTCAACTTAAACTAAAAAACATAGCTGTACCATATTACTGTATACCTGCACCACTGTAAAGCACAGCCTCCATACGTAATACAGCTAGAAGCTACAACAGCCTGCCATCGCCCAAAACAGGAACTGTACTGATAAGCCACTACCAATTTCTTTCTTCCTGTTGCAACGCCAGACATTTTTCTGCCATTGCCCTCAGTTTCACCCTGCTGCGTCCCGACCCCGCACTTCCATTACGTTCCCTCAGAGCAAGCAACTTCCATAAGGCTGTCACATATCCGTCAGGGAGAAGGGGGATGAAGGGAGGACGAGCGAGACGGGAGAGAGAGATGATAAATCTAAGTGCAGCGACCGGGGCCTAGCTACCATCTAATGCGTAGTCCTAACAACCGTCTATGAGCATCAGGGACTGGGGTACGATAGGGACTTAAGTCTTGTCACCTCGTCCAGCATTGATCAAACCAGGCTTCATGACGTGTCGTCAGACATTCCGACAACATCCAGCAAAGCTTAATAATCTCATATATTTCCTTCCTTTCCTCTGACATCCCATGCAGCCCCTGACAGTCACTCAAGATAAGCCAAAAGCCTTCTGACAGGATAGAGAGCATATAAAACATATAAATGATATTTGCTGCCATTTTGGCACCAGGAGTCAACAGAGTAAGAGATTCTGTTTCTCCATTTCTGTTTGAGTGAATTCTCACAATCAAATCTGGTAACAATCCTGACACGATTAAAATAAAAACTATTTTAAAGCAATGAACCTCAACGTAAAAGGCATTTGAAAACCTCTATGGAAAGTCACATAGAAGTCACCAGCAGAGGTTAAATTATGTGAGGCACCCTGCTTTATGAATGTGTTTTGAAACAAACACCAAGAACAGTTGGCATATACAGTATTAATCTCGGAAACCCAGAACTAAAATCTGGAGAAAATGCATCAGATGCTCAATTAGGTTCTGGGGGAAGATGTATGAGAAAAGATACTAATGAGACTAGTGAAGTCTCCTCCCCCTTAAAAGGAAACTCTTAGCCAAAGCATGGGCCAAATGTCCCCTCCCATTCCAACATTTGAAAATATACGAACACCTGCTAAATCGTGATTTGTCCAAATGATCAGTGACGAAACAATTGGCGCACTGGAACAAAGTTCCTCATTAATCGTTGCATACCACAGTCTGTTGACAGAAGCTAACACAACAGGTATAGATAGACCTTACAGTGAAATGCTTACTTACAAGCCCTTAACCAACAATGCAGTTTTAAGAAAGAATACATTAAAACAAATAAAAAAAAAGTAACAAATAGTCTGGGTAGCCATTTGATTAGATGTTCAGGAGTCTTATGGCTTGGGGGAAGAAGGTGTTAGGAAGCCTCTTGGACCTAGACTTGGTGCTCCGGTACCGCTTGTCGTGCGGTAGCAGAGAGAACAGTCTATGACTAGGGTGGCTGGAGTCTTTGACAATTTTTAGGGCCTTCCTCTGACACCGCCTGGTATAGAGGTCCTGGATGGCAGGAAGCTTGGCCCCAGTGATGTACTGGGCCGTATGCACTACACTCTGTAGTGCCTTGCGGTCGGAGGTCGAGCAGTTGCCATACCAGGCAGTGATGCAACCAGTCAGGATGCTCTCGATGGTGCAGCTGTAGAACCTTTTGAGGATCTAAGGACCCATGCCAAATCTTTTCAGTCTCCTTAGGGGGATAATTTGTAAGTCGCTTTGGATAAGAGCGTCTGCTAAATGACGTAAATGTAAATGAATAGGTTTTGTCGTGCCCTCTTCATGACTATCTTGGTGTGCTTGGACCATGTTAGTTTGTTGGTGATGTGGACACCAAGGAACTTGAAGCTCTCAACCTGCTCCACTACAGCCCCGTCGATGAGAATGGGGGCGTGCTCGGTCCTCTTCTTTTTCCTGTAGTCCACAATCCTCTCCTTTGTCTTGATCAGGTTGAGGGAGAGGTTGTTGTTCTGGCACCACACGGCCAGGTCTCTGACCTCCTCCCTATAGGCTGTCTCGTCGTTGTCGGTGATCAGGCATACCACTGTTGTGTCACGTGCGTCTGTCCACGAGATATTAATACAGTATTAGCATGTTACAGCAGCTACAATAGATCAACCAGATGAGTCAACTATCAATATTTAAAACATCTTCAAAAATCACCCATCCACAGCCAATCTACTATACAGTGGCATTATCTCAGTGATAGTACTACCCACTGCCCAGCTCTAGATTATAGGCCTCCATTTTCTGTCTGATACTCTGCCACCCCATCCAGCCTCTATCCAGCCCGACTATAACGACAGAACCTGTGGCTAAACCAATCAATTACCGCTGTGTACAATTCATTACTAACTTCCCTTTGAATTAAACACAATCGCAGCACACTGACTGGCTGCTGCTGTCGCTGCTGTGTCTGTGGAGTCTCCCCCAGGATGCAATTCTGTTTCAACGGACTGATAATAGAATATGACATTGGTGGAGATGTTCTGTTATTCTTCACTCTCAGTATTGCTCTGTGTCCTAAGATAACTGATAGTGACCTGAAAAGCTTCTCGTTGCCTGAAGTCTTCATATTTTAAAAAAAGCATTTAGAGATAGCAGATTTAGTCAAACAATGATAACTGAAGTAAATTATTAACATTATGGCTATAACATTTTAGAGGTGTTTAGTTCATGGAAATGTCATGTTTATTTTTGTTGTTAATAAGGAATTATTCTATAGATTAAATGTTGTTGCTTAATATACAGTACAGTTTACAGTTGCAAATCACTCTTCTGAGTGTTGCCCTCAAATTGCAACTGTAAGCGGTATATTAAGCAACAACATTTAATCTAAAGAATCATTGAAAACTGTAAAGGAATTGATATGTTGAATAAATGCACAACTTCTTACAATAAACGATAGTCAGTGCCTTGAAAAATTGCTGCTCTTGAATTGGAAAAATTGTCAACTGAGAGCAATTAGACTCAAATGCAAAACAATGCATTAAATCTCCAAAGAATGACATGAGGGAGGGAGAGGAAATGTCATTTTCCCAGTCAGGATGTTGGTAAGATGCCCACAAAATTCATTTTTTCAATCACATCCTGAGCTGAGCTGTGGAAAAATATTGGCCAAGATCCAGATAGTACAGTGCCATCGTTGAAATAAATGTTGGTCTACAGGCTTGCATTGAAATTAGGCTCCTTCAGATTGGAGTCAATTGTATAATTGTTTGGCTGCATATGACAATGGAAAGTGGCTCAACACTAATAAACAAACCCCAACTCAGGGAAGGATAATAGTGGTCAGGTACTAGCCTATAGGGAAATCTCTCCTATGTAAAAACCTCCAAAGAAACATCCCTGCTCCCTCAGTCTCCAGGGAAGTTGATTACTACAGTGTGTGTTAAAGACAATATTTTCTATTCTAGCTTTTACTAAACCTGGAAGTCCCCTCAGGTCAATAGACACATTTACGAGGGAGACCTGTTCCCAATAGTACAGTGTTAGTGAAAAGACAAATAGGGTACATACCCATGCTGTACACTACACAGTTGTTCTTGCCGTCTTCTGCTGCCAGCCAGGTGATGTCCTGAAGCCACCTGGGACCACCAGTCAGAACCACGGGGACAGGCCGCATTGGGGACATGGCGCTCTGTAGGACAGGAAAGACAGTGGTGGCACGTTAGCATTTTGCTGTCAAAAAACCTGTGATCGCTCATACTCATTCATCAATCAGGCCTGTCGCTCTTATGGAAAGTGAGTTTTCATAGTCTTTTTCACAGTTGACCTGACTGTGAGATTGAATGATGGCATGTGTGGTGTGTGTGGTGGGGAGTGTCTTATTGAGTACAGCCCGGGCCGAGGCGTCACTCGAATCTGTCCTTCCTCAGTGACAATGGGGTTACGGGGCTCTTTTGAATTTTCTTGTCCTTCAGGGGGCTTTGGAATCCTGAAGAGAATTCAGATGAAGAAGAAGAAGAAGAAGAAGAAGAAGGGAGGAGAGCTGCTTTAGAAGTAATCTTTAGACACATTGTACCTCACTATCGGTACGATCGCCGCTGCCTGCTGAAGACTGGCAGGGAAGGGAAAGAATCTAAAGAATTGGTGTGCATTTCAAAAGAGTGACCCAGGTATACAGATCACAATGCAGGGATAAATGATTGTGTCAATATCTTGGACTATATTTCACTTCCTGCCTAGTTCAGATATGGTATGTAATTTCTCATAAATACCGGTTGAATGTGCTATCAGAGAGACAGAGAGACATAATACCACTGCTTGACACATTCTCTGTCTAATTGTAAGTGTTCCTAATCTGTAACAAGTTGACCCTCGCCTCTGAGCTAAACAGCAATACTGGGCATCCTTGAACTGAAATGATCTACAGTACCAGTCAAAAGTTTGGACACGCCTACTCATTCAAGGGTTTTTCTTTATTGTTACTATTTTCTACGTTGTAGAATAATAGTGAAGACATCAACACTATAAAATAACACATCATATAGTAACCAAAAAAGTGTTAAACAATTCAAAATATATTCTATATTTGAGATTCTTCAAATAGCCACCCTTTGCCTTGATGACAGCTTTGCACACTCTTGGCATTCTCTCAATCCTGGAATGCTTTTCCAACAGTCTTGAAGGAGTTCCCACATAAGCTTAGCACTTGTTGGCTGCTTTTCCTTCACTCTGCCGTCCGACTAATCCCAAACCATCTCAATTGGGTTGAGGTCGGGGGATTGTGGAGGCCAGGTCATCTGATGGAGCACTCCCTCACTCTCCTTCTTGGTAAAATAGCCCTTACACAGCCTGGAGGTGTGTTGGGTCATTGTCTTGTTGAAAAACAAATCATAGTCACACTAAGCCCAAACCAGATGTGATGGCGTATCGCTGCAGAATGCTGTGGTAGCCATGCTTGTTAAGTGTGCCTTGAATTCTAAATAAATCACAGACAGTGTCACCAGCAAAGCACCCCCACACCATAACACCTCCTCCTCAATGCTTTACAGTGGGAACTACACATGCGGAGATCATCCGTTCACCCACACCACGTCTCACAAAGACACAGCGATTGGAACCAAAAATCTCAAATTTGGACTCCAGACCAAAGGACAAATTTCCACCGGTCTAATGTCCATTGCTCATGTTTCTTGGCCCAAGCAGGTCTCTTCTTATTATTGATGTCCTTTAGTAGTGGCTTCTTTGCAGAAATTCGACCATGAAGGCCTGATTCACACAGTCCCCTCTGAACCGTTGATGTTGAGATGTGTCTGTGACTTGAACTCTGTGAAACATTTATTTGGGCTGCAATTTCTGAGACTGGTAACTCTAATGAACTTATCCTCTCTCCCTGTGGTGGTCCTCATGAGAGCCAGTTTCATCATAGCGCTTGATGGATTTTTGCAACTGCACTTGAAGAAAATTGTCCGTATTGACTGACCTTCATGTCTTAAAGTAATGATGGACTGTCTTATTTGAGCTGCCATTATATGGACTTTGTCTTTTACCAAATAGGGCTATCTTCTGTATACCCCCTACCTTGTCACAACACAACTGATTGGCTCAAACGCGTTAAGAAGGAAAGAAATTCCACAAATTAACTTTTAAAAAGGAACACCTGTTAATTGAAATGCATGAAGCTGGTTGAGAGAATGCCAAGAATGTGCAAAGCTGTCATCAAGGCAAAGAATCTCAAATATAAAATATATTTTGATTTGTTTAACACTTTTTTGGTTACTACATGATTCCACTTATTTCATAGTTTTGATGTCATCACTATTATTCTACAATGTAAAAAATAGTAAAAATAAAGAAAAACCCTTGAATGAGCAGGTGTGTCCAAACTTTTGACTGGTAGTGTATATCCAATTGTGCGTACTGTAGAGACTCTGAGTGCATCCGAAATGACACTCTATTCCCTATATAGTGCTCATCTTTTGGCAATGGAATAGTGAATGTGTATAAGAAATAGTGCATGTAATTAAAAATAACACATTTGATGTATCTCTTTGGAAGAGGGTGCCATTTCAGATGCAGCCTCTGCCATGGTTTTAGGAAGCTCGTAGAAAAACTATACAACAACAAGTTGACTCACATTTTAAGATAACCCTCATTGATTTTTAGTTTTTGTAGACTTTGGCCGACTGTTGTTCAATCTAATGTGAATTTTCAACCGCTAGATTAGGATCACAGTGAGTGGATCAGGTCAGGACATCAGTTCCAATGTATCTCTGTGAGCTGATCTCTACCTCATGTTCAGCAATAGGCTGGTATACCATCAATTACTGCTTCTAGAAGAAGGAAGAAGGGGTCTGTTCCCATACAACCCAGATCAAACTGGTTTTAAAGGTACATTCTGGTATTTGAAAAAGAACAACGCGGTAGTGACAGAGTATACTGTATATCAAGAATTTAAATGATCATTAAACACATTCCCAGATCCCAGGCTGTAGCTTTAAGTATCTAATTCTGCTTCATACATACAAGGGAAAGGGAAGGGAAGGGGAACCTAGTCAGTTGTACAATTGAATGCATTCAACTCCTACTGAGCGTTAGTGACTGACTGTAACACACCCAGCTGATGCATATATTTGCATGTCATTAGATGATGACATGGATCTGCAGGCAGCTGTCCACTTTAGACAATAAGATGAGCAAGATGTATCATATCGATAACAGCCATACGTAAAATCATATGAATTATAGTGTCCCATAAGGAACATTTTTAGCAATTATTTTAACATAAGATTTGGCTATATTTAACCATGAAAGAAAGAGCTCTCTAAATTTGCTCTCAGATATTTGTTATTTAATTATAGCATTGATTTTTCATTAGCCTAAAATCTGCATTTATGCTGAATGCTGCCATTTCTATTCTCCCTCATCTCTTCAGTCACCTGGTTGGCCAATTTGACAGGGCTTTGTCTTAGGGCCCTGGCACTGCACAGGACGGGGGAGATGAGAGGCAGGGGTGAGGCGGGGGAGGGACACTTATCAGGCCTCGACAGCAGCAGGGGCTTGCCACCTCATGGTCAGACTGGGCTGTTTTTTTGCAGGGGGGTCGTCCTGCCACATTAGGATTGTGCTGACTTTAATATGTCATTCTAGCTTCTCACCACTTATCCAGAGAAACAGCATCACGGTTAAACATTTTTTAACAACAACTGGATACAGGTCTTCCATGTTTCTCATTCTATTCACTGAGAGGCAACAGTGTGCTGAACGCGGAACGAGGGAGAGCTTGGTTTGTTGTTTTGAAAGTCTCTGAAAAAGTGTTCTATTGAAAAAGTTTGTTCAATCCGCCGTCCTTAACACAATGGAAAAATCGAATGATTTATTATTGAAATATTTAAATAGCATTGGCGACTGAGAAAAACAAATTGGTACAATTTAAGGTCATGTGGCAAACAATAATGCAGGCACTAGGGATGAGGTTGTGAGCATGGAGGTCTGGGCAGAGGAGATGTAGTCGTTGTTTGTGTGCGTCTGTAAGTTGTTGTTTGTATATGTATGTTTGTAATTGGTGTAAAATATATATATATATATAATAATAATTGGTTACTATACTGAACATTTCTGGGATTTTTTATTTCAGCTCATGAAACATGGGACCAACACTTTACATGTTGTGTTTATATTTTTCTTCAGTGTAGCTATATTCTGTATTTGGGTCCTGCGACGCGGTTAGCATCAGCTGCTGGGACCGATACTATCTGTCTAGGGATCCTGCCAACCAAAAGTCTGAAGAGCTGCTTGGAGTGGCAGCTAGCCTAGCTGCTAACTAGCTATCAAGCTAGCAAGGTTTCCTGAAAGTTTGAACACAGCCTGCGATGCGGTTCGCCCTTGTGGCTGGGACCACAGATTGTCCTGGGCTTGTGGCTGTCTAAATCCCTGCTGTTTGTTGAAGTTTCCATCTGCCCTGAAACCTGCCCTGTCTGGAACTTCGTGGAGTCCAGCGTTAGCCTACGTTGCTACCATGACATCCAAAACCAAAGCCGGTGGGAGTAACGGAGAGGACAGTGTTTCTCTATCACAGGTGATGGATCTTTTAAACAAACAAAAACGGTTCTATAAGCAGTTCTTACAACAACAGGAAAATAGCTTCAAGAGCTTTGTCTAAATACTGATGGACTCAACTAACAAAAGAATGGACGATCTGACCAGAGAGGTCCAGGACATTAAGAACAATTTGCAGTTCTCCCAAGGAGAGGTGGATGTCCTGAAAGAGACTTGCAACAATATGACAACAAACAGTCCATGCGAGATGACATCAGCACTGTCTGTGAATCATTATTAACAATGACTGGGAAAAAAAGGCTATCTAGAGGGACAATCCAGGAGGCATAACATCGTTGTGGATGGCATACCAGAGTCTTCAAATGAGAACTGGGCCAAGTCTGAGGAGAAAGTAAGAAAATGTGTCACTGAAAAGCTGCAGGTGGATCATAGTTAGATTGAGGTGTAGCGCACCCACAGGTCTGGAAAACCTGTAACAAGCCCAGGTGACAGACCCAGGCTGATAGTGGTCAAGTTCCTAAGGTTTAAGGACAAGATGTCTCTCCTATAAAGAGCCAAGAACTTGAGAGGAACCGGGACATTGCTTACATCCGCTACGACAGGCTAATTTTCCACCCTACATCCCAAAAGACTGGGAGAAGTGAGAGAGCCTACCTTCCGGGTCAGTAGCTTCAGCCCCACATCACACACATTCACCCACTGACACTCACATTAGCCTGATTGGCTGATTCTATTAGTCAAACAATGTTCTTTCTAGGGAGTTTTTCCTAGCCACCATGCTTCTACATCTGCATTGCTTGCTGTTTGGGGTTTTAGGCTGGGTTTCTGTATAAGCACTTTGTGACATCTGCTGATGTAAAAATGGCTTTATAAATACATTTGATTTGATTCTTGTCGTTTGTTTTTTTTCTTCATATTATGTCTATCTCCAATAAGCTACCCAGGAAAGGGCCTTATAAATAAGGTTTATGAAATCATAGCATTTCAGGGATATACTGTAACATCTATGTTTTTTGTTAGCTAGCACTACTGGCTGCTGGCCAAATTAGCTAATGTTCTTGATTCTAGTTACTAAGACAAATAAAACATCTCGAATTAGCTACTCACTTTAGCGTTAACTTCTTTCAGGTATTTTCTGAACAGCTTCTCACTTCTTTGTTTCTCCAGTTGTCAGTTCGACCACACACTGTTTACACACTCATTTGTCAAAAATGACAGTTGGAACTCTTGCTAGGCTACCAGTTACAGTGCCTTTAGCTTGAGGTTTGCGTGCGCCTTTATCCAGAGGGAATACAACAATTATAGCTAGTGTCTGAAAGAATGATATGGAGCATAAGAAATTGTCCTTATTTAGCATATGAAAATGCATATCAAGATCCTGATATGGACCTCAGTCAAGAGCATATGCAATGTACGTGCTGTGAAAATATACCATACTGTCAGTATTTGTCATCATATAGAGAAAATAAGATGTCCAAATAGGCCTATCTCAGGATATCTAATGAGTCAATATCCGGCCATACCATGTCTGATATCTGGAGGGTATCCAAAAATGATGTGCATGAAAGAAAAATATGGATCACATATTTGTCAAATTATTGAGCATGTGCTGAAAACTCAGAAATGCATCAGATATTGTCCTTATCTTCAGCATATCAAGAGAAGCTTATCTGGAATCAATATAAACTATATATACAAAAGTATATGGACACCCCTTCATATTAGTGGATTCGGCTATTTCAGCCACACACGTTGCTGACAGGTGTATAAAATTGAGCCATGCAATCTCCATACACAAACATTGGCAGTAGAATATAGTAATGAAGAGCTCAGTGACTTTCAACGTGGGACCGTCATAGGATGCCACCTTTCCAACAAGTCAGTTCGTCAAATTCCTGCTCTGCTAGAGCTGCCCCGGTCAACTGTAAGTGCTGTTATTGTGAAGTGGAAACGTCTAGGAGCAACAACGGTTCAGCTGCAAAGTGGTAGGCCACACAAGCTCCCAGAACGGGACTGCAGAGTGCTGAAGCGCGTAAAAATCGTCTGTCTTCGGTTGCAACACTCACTACCGAGTTCCAAACTGCCTCTGGAAGCAACATCAGCACAAGAACTGTTCGTCGGGAGCTTCATGAAATGTGTTTCCATGGCCGAGCAGCCACAAACAAGCTTAAGAACACTATATGCAATACCAAGCGTCGGCTGGAGGGGTGTAAAGCTCGCTGCCATTGGACTCTGGAGCAGTAAAACTCGTTTTCTGGAGTGATGAATCACGCTTCACCATCTGGCAGTCCGATGGACAAATCTGGGTTTGGTGGATGCAAGGAGAACGCTACCTGCCCCAATACAAAGTGCCAACTGTAAAGTTTGGTTGAGGAGGAATAATGGTCTGGGGCTGTTTTTCATGGTTCGGGCTAGGCCCCTTAGTTCCAGTGAAGGGAAATCTTAACACTACAGCATACAATGACATTCTAGACGATTCTGTGCTTCCAACTTTGTGGCAACAGTTTGGGGAAGGCCCTTTCCTGTTTCAGCATGACAATGCCCCTGTGCACAAAGCGAGGTCTATATAGAAATGGTTTGTCGAGATTGGTGTGGAAGAACTTGACTGGCTTGCACAGAGCCCTGACCTCAACCCCATCGAACACCTTTGGGATGAATTGGAATGCCGACTGCGAGCCAGGCCTAATCGCCCAACATCAGTGCCCGACCTCACTAATGCTCTTCTGGCTGAATGGAAGCAATTCCCCACAGCAGTGTTCCAACATCTAGTGGAAAGCCTTCCCAGAAGAGTGGAGACTGTTATAGCAGCGAAATGGGGACCAACTCCATATTAATGCCCATGATTTTGGAATGTGATGTTCGGCGAGCAGGTGTCCACATACTTTTGGTCATGTAGTGTAGCTTCATATCTTCAGAAAACATATATGTATACAGTCAGTATTTGTCAACATTAAGAGAGATAATAGGATGTCACATATCTTATGATATTGAATGAGTCCATATCCGACCATAGGAAATGTCCATGTGTGATATTCGAAGTAATCCCAATATCATATTTGTCTAAAAGACACATCTGGATTCAGAATTTGTCAAGATATGGTGCATATCCACAAAACTGAAAACATGCATTGGAAATGGTCTGTATTCTCTAGAATATAAAAAACGTGTAATGTAAAGATCTCCCCTGATATGGACCCTTGTCGCCCTGTGCTGTACCTGTAATCTGGTCCAGGTAATTAATCAACCTACCAGGGTGTTTAAAAACAGTACAGGAACTATATCATACACATGTATTGATTACATTTTTACCAGTGCTACAGGACTCTGCTCAAAGCTGTATCCATACCCATTGGATGTACTGCTCATAGCATAGTGGCCATATCTAGAAAAGCCAAAATTCAAAAAGCCGGGTCTAAAATAATGTACAAGAGATCATACAAAACTTTTTGTACTGATTCCTATGTTGAAGATCCAACAAAATATTTGTTGGTCTGATGAGTGTAACGAGGAGCATCCAGACACTGCACTAGATGCATTTATGAAATTATTGACAAGCATGCACCTATTAAGAAACAGACTGTTATAACTGTTAAGGCCCCGTGGATTGATGAGGAATTGAAAATCTGTATGGTTGAGAGGGACAAGGCAAAAGGAGTGGTGAATAAGTCTGGTTGCACATCTGACTGGCAAACTTACTGTAAATTGAGAAATTATGTGACTAAACTGAACAAAAAGAAGAAGAAATTGTATTTTGAAACTAAGATAAATGACAAAGTATGATAGAAAAAAATCTTGGACCGCTTTAAATGAAATTATGGGCAGACAGACTAATTCAACTCCATCTTTCATTCAGATGGCTCATTTATCACAAAACCTGCCAACAACAAACTGTGAGCCATCACATTCATGCATAAAATACCTAATAATGAAAGAAATGCATTGTAATTTAGAATTCTGTAGTCATTGTGGGTGAGGTGGAAACATTATTGTTGTCCATCAATAATGAGAAATCACCTGCTATTGACAACTTAGACGGAAAGCTACTGCGGATGGTAGCGGACTACAGTGGGGAAAAAAAGTATTTAGTCAGCCACCAATTGTGCAAGTTTTCCCACTTAAAAAGATGAGAGAGGCCTGTAATGTTCATCATAGGTACACGTCAACTATGACAGACAAATTGAGATTTTTTTTCTCCAGAAAATCACATTGTAGGATTTTTAATGAATTTATTTGCAAATTATGGTGGAAAATAAGTATTTGGTCAATAACAAAAGTTTCTCAATACTTTGTTATATACCCTTTGTTGGCAATGACACAGGTCAAACGTTTTCTGTAAGGTCAAAGCCTGTATGTCTATGTATGCTGAAGATTCAACCATATACACGTCAGCAACCACAGCTAGTGAAATTTACATTTACATTTTAGTCATTTAGCAGACGCTCTTATCCAGAGCGACTTACAGTTAGTGAAAGTGGAGATTGCATGGCTTCACCATCTGGCAGTCCGATGGACAAATCTGGGTTTGGTGGATGCAAGGAGAACGCTACCTGCCCCAATGCAAAGTGCCAACTGTAAAGTTTGGTTGAGGAGGAATAATGGTCTGGGGCTGTTTTTCATGGTTCGGGCTAGGCCCCTTAGTTCCAGTGAAGGGAAATCTTAACACTACAGCATACAATGACATTCTAGACGATTCTGTGCTTCCAACTTTGTGGCAACAGTTTGGGGAAGGCCCTTTCCTGTTTCAGCATGACAATGCCCCTGTGCACAAAGCGAGGTCTATATAGAAATGGTTTGTCGAGATTGGTGTGGAAGAACTTGACTGGCTTGCACAGAGCCCTGACCTCAACCCCATCGAACACCTTTGGGATGAATTGGAATGCCGACTGCGAGCCAGGCCTAATCGCCCAACATCAGTGCCCGACCTCACTAATGCTCTTCTGGCTGAATGGAAGCAAGTCCCCACAGCAGTGTTCCAACATCTAGTGGAAAGCCTTCCCAGAAGAGTGGAGACTGTTATAGTAGCGAAAGGGGGACCAACTCCATATTAATGCCCATGATTTTGGAATGTGATGTTCGGCGAGCAGGTGTCCACATACTTTTGGTCATGTAGTGTAGCTTCATATCTTCAGAAAACATATATGTATACAGTCAGTATTTGTCAACATTAAGAGAGATAATAGGATGTCACATATCTTATGATATTGAATGAGTCCATATCCGACCATAGGAAATGTCCATGTGTGATATTCGAAGTAATCCCAATATCATATTTGTCTAAAAGACACATCTGGATTCAGAATTTGTCAAGATATGGTGCATATCCACAAAACTGAAAACATGCATTGGAAATGGTCTGTATTCTCTAGAATATAAAAAACGTGTAATGTAAAGATCTCCCCTGATATGGACCCTTTCCGCCCTGTGCAGTACCTGTAATCTGGTCCAGGTAATTAATCAACCTACCAAGGTGTTTACAAACAGTACAGGAACTATATCATACACATGTATTGATTACATTTTTACCAGTGCTACAGGACTCTGCTCAAAGCTGTATCCATACCCATTGGATGTACTGCTCATAGCATAGTGGCCATATCTAGAAAAGCCAAAATTCAAAAAGCTGGGTCTAAAATAATGTACAAGAGATCATACAAAACTTTTTGTACTGATTCCTATGTTGAAGATCCAACAAAATATTTGTTGGTCTGATGAGTGTAACGAGGAGCATCCAGACACTGCACTAGATGCATTTATGAAATTATTGACAAGCATGCACCTATTAAGAAACAGACTGTTATAACTGTTAAGGCCCCGTGGATTGATGAGGAATTGAAAATCTGTATGGTTGAGAGGGACAAGGCAAAAGGAGTGGTGAATAAGTCTGGCTGCACATCTGACTGGCAAACTTACTGTAAATTGAGAAATTATGTGACTAAACTGAACAAAAAGAAGAAGAAATTGTATTTTGAAACTAAGATAAATGACAAAGTATGATAGAAAAAAATCTTGGACCGCTTTAAATGAAATTATGGGCAGACAGACTAATTCAACTCCATCTTTCATTGAGTCAGATGGCTCATTTATCACAAAACCTGCCAACAACAAACTGTGAGCCATCACATTCATGCATAAAATACCTAATAATGAAAGAAATGCATTGTAATTTAGAATTCTGTAGTCATTGTGGGTGAGGTGGAAACATTATTGTTGTCCATCAATAATGAGAAATCACCTGGTATTGACAACTTAGACGGAAAGCTACTGCGGATGGTAGCGGACTACAGTGGGGAAAAAAAGTATTTAGTCAGCCACCAATTGTGCAAGTTTTCCCACTTAAAAAGATGAGAGAGGCCTGTAATGTTCATCATAGGTACACGTCAACTATGACAGACAAATTGAGATTTTTTTTCTCCAGAAAATCACATTGTAGGATTTTTAATGAATTTATTTGCAAATTATGGTGGAAAATAAGTATTTGGTCAATAACAAAAGTTTCTCAATACTTTGTTATATACCCTTTGTTGGCAATGACACAGGTCAAACGTTTTCTGTAAGGTCAAAGCCTGTATGTCTATGTATGCTGAAGATTCAACCATATACACGTCAGCAACCACAGCTAGTGAAATTTACATTTACATTTTAGTCATTTAGCAGACGCTCTTATCCAGAGCGACTTACAGTTAGTGAGTGCATACATTTTCATACTGACCCCCGTGGGAATCGAACCCACAACCCTGGTGAAATCACTGCAACCCCAAACAAAGAGTTTCAGTCCGTTTTAGAATGGGTGGTCAGTAATAAACTAGTCCTCAACATCTCTAAAACTAAGAGCATTGTATTTGGTACTAATCATTCCCTAAGTTCTAGACCTCAACTGAATATGATAATGAATAATGTGGCTGTTGAGCAAGTTGAGACTAAATTACTTGGTCTTACTTTGGATTGTAAACTGTCATGGTCAAAACATATCTGTAAGTCGCTCTGGATAAGAGCGTCTGCTAAATGACTTAAATGTTAAAATATTGATTCAATGGTTGTAAAGATGGTCTGTCCATGATAAAGATATGTTTTGCTTTTTTGACACCACACTCCACAAAGTAAGTCCTGCAGGCTCTAGTTTGATCTTATCTTGATTATTGTCCAGTCATATGGTCAGGTGCTGCAAAGAAGGACCTAGAAAAACTGCTACTGGCCCAGAATAGAGCGGCACGTCTTGCTCTTCAATGTAATCAGAGGGCTAATATCAATACTATGCATGCCAGTCTCTCTAAAAGTAGAGGAGACCGACTGCATCAATTCTTCTTTTTATACGAAACAATATGTTGAAAATTCCAAATTGTTTGCATAGTCAACATACACACAGATCTGACACACACACTTATCCCACTAGACATGCCACCAAGGGGTCTTTTCACAGTCCCCAAATTCAAGAAAACTTACAGTATTATATAGAGCCATGATTGCATAGAACTCCCTTCCATCTCAGATTGCGCAAGTGAAAAGCAAACCTGGTTTAAAAAAACAGATAAAGCAACGGCTGACGGCACAACACCTCTCCCCTATTTGACCTAGATATTTTGTGTGTATGTACAGTATGTACTGATATGTAGGCTATGTGTAATGTTTTAAATGAACAAAACAATGAACGCAACATGTAAAGTGTTGGGCCCATGTTTCATGAACTGAAATAAAAGATCCCAGAAATGTTCCATACGCACAATAACCTTATTTCTCTCAAATGTGGTACACACATTTCTTTACATCCCTGTTAGTGAGCATTTCTCCTTTGCCAAGATAATCCATCCACCTGACAGGTGTGGCATATCAAGAAGCTGATTAAACAGCATGATCATTACACAGGTGCACCTTGTGCTGGGGACAATAAAAGGCCACTCTAAAATGTGCAGTTTTGTCACACAACACAATCCCACAGATGTTTAAAGTTTTGAGTGAGCATGCAATTGGCATGCTGACTGCCAGAGAATTTAATGTACATATCTCTACCATAAGCCGCCTCCATCGTTGTTTTAGAGAATTTGGCATTAGGTCCAACCGGCCTCACAACCGCAGACCACGTGTATGGCGTCGTGTGGGTGAGCGGTTTTCTGATGTCAAAGTTGTGAACAGAGTGCCCCATGTTGGCAGTGGGGTTATGGTATGGGCAGGCATAAGCTGTGGACAACGAACACAATTGCATTTTATCGATGGCAATTTGAAAGCACAGGGATACCGGAACGAGATCCTGAGGCCCATTGTTGTGCTATTCATTCGCTGCCATCACCTCATGTTTCGGCATGATAATGCACGGCCCCATGTTGCAAGGATCTGTACACAATTCCTGGAAGATGAAAATGTCCCAGTTCTTCCATGGCCTGCATACTCACCAGACATGTCACCCATTGAGCATGTTTGGGATGCTCTTGATTATTGTGTAAGACAGCGTGTTCCAGTTCCTGCCAATATCCAGCAACTTCGCACAGCCATTGAAGAGGTGTGGGACAACATTCCACGGGCCACAGTCAACAGCCTGATCGATTGTATGCAAAGGAGATATGTCGCGCTTGAGAGTTATATTATGTGTATTCAAAATGCAAAAATTCCAATGGATTTCTAAGAATAAGATGGACTTTAAACAGGAGGTACAGGAGGAATTTTTCAAAGACATCTTGGACAGGACATGTAAGCCCAATGTTCCAGATGAGAGAGAGAGAGCGAGAGAGAGAGAGAGAGAGAGAGAGAGAGATATCTACTGTAGTCCACTCTCCTCTCAAGTCCCACTGATTCTGCTCTTCCCAGCCTGGCTGAATCCTCTTTTCCTTATCAGGCCAGCACAGGCTGCATCTGCCTCTCTCTGCTCTGACAGCAGCGACAACAATGGGCCAGCGATACCACCGTGCTTCAGAGAGGGGAACCTGCCACAGGCGCAGTTTACACACACACATGCACATGCAGGTACACATGCATGCGTGCACACACACACATTCCTTGCTTGCCACTCATGTCTCTCTCAGAAACAAATACAAGCAAACATATTCTTTGCAGAAATCTAAACAATTTAAGTAAGTTGGTAGAATGATAGTGGTCACAACGGTTGTATCCTACAATGAACAAAAATATAAACGCAACATACAACAATTCCACAGATTTTACTGAGTTACAGTTCATATAAGGAAGTTAGTCAATTGAAATAAATAAATTAGGCCCTCATCTATGGATTTGACATGACTGGGAATACAGATATGCATCTGTTGGTCACAGATACCTTTAAAAAAAAGTAGGGGCGTGGATCATTTGCCTCATGCAGAGCGACACATCTCCTTCACATAGAGTTGATCGGGTTGTTGATTGTGGCCTGTAGAATGTTGTCCCATTCCTCTTCAATGGCTGTGCGAAGTTGCTGGATATTGGGGGGAACTGGAACACGCTGTCGTACACGATGATCCAGAGCATCCCAAACGTGATCAATGGGTGACATGTCTGGTGAGTATGCAGGCCATGGAAGAACTGGGACATTTTCAGCTTCCAGGAATTGTGTACAGATCCTTGCGACATGGGGCCGTGCATTAACATGCTGAAACATGAGGTGAGGGCCGTGGATGAATGGCACGACAATGGGCCTCAGGATCTCATCACGGTATCTCTGTGCATTCAAATTGCCATCGATTAAATGGAATTGTGTTCGTTGCCCATACCATAACCCCACCGCCACCATGGGGCACTCTGTTCACAACTTTGACATCAGCAAACTGCTCGCCCACACGACGCCCATACACACCATCTATCTGTCTGGTACAGTTGAAACGGATGTGGAGGTCTTTGGCTGGCGTGTTTACACGTGGTCTGCGGTTGTGAGGCCGGATGGATGTACTGCCAATTCTCTAATACAATGTTGGAGGCAGCTAATGATAGAGAAATGAACATTACATTCTCTAGCAACAGCTCTGGTGGACATTCTTGCAGTCAGCATGCCAATTGCATGCTCCAAAATATGATACATCTGTGGCATTGGGTTGTGTGACAAAACTGCACATTTTAGAGTGACCTTTTATTGTCCCCAGCACAAGGTGCACTTGTGTAATGATCTTTTTTCATCTTCTTTTTTTTTACTTTACCACCCCTCCCCTACTTGGAGTAAACTAATGGACTAATGGACAACAACACCTAGGCTTCTACATATTATATACATTTTACGGACACAGTATATTTTACAATAGTTTTCTTTTGTTTGTTTTTAGTCCCATCCTTAAGCTACCCTCAACCCCTCCCATATATCTCTGAAGACCATCCAGTTTTGATTTCTGTTTGCCATATCCTATTCAACTGTGATGTTTCACAAAAGTTCAGAACCCACTGTATATACATTTTACGGACACAGTATATTTTACATTAGTTATCTTGTTATTTTTTGTCCCACCCTTCAGCTCCACTCAACCCCTCCCATCTAGCTCTTAACACCACCCAGTTTTTATTTCTATTTGCCATATATTTTTCAACTATGCTGTGATATTTCACAAAAGTTCTGAACCTTTCTATTCTCATAGTTTCTACAGATTGTAAATGAAAGATAAACATTTTTGCTAAGAGTATTATTATATTATTGATCGATTGACTATGACTTTTTAAATCACCCAGTAGTGCTATTTGCAGAGTTAGCTCCAAGTAAATGTTACAATTCTTCATCCATTCCTGAAACTGCAACCAAAAACAACCTACATATGAACAAACCAAATGATCTAATGATTCGGTCTCTTCGTTGCAAAATCTGCAGAGCTGGGATGGTTGTATCCCGCAAATATATAACATTCTATTGGTTGCAACATTTTTGTATAATAATTTAAATAGAAAAACTCAACATTTTGAATCCAGCGTCGTTTTGTTTACCAGTTCATAAATGATGGACTCGGTATATCGAACATCTCTTCCCAACTATTTTGCAATCTATATGGCACAGCTGTCAATTTTTTGGTCCTTAAATGAAACTGGTATTCTTTCTTATTTATCACAATTTTCTTTAACCAATGTTGGTCTTTAATGCAGGGCCGACAGACAAGTTCCTTACTTTCTCCTCCTTCAACATTTTTGCAGTAATGCTGCAATTAGTTGGTTGTAATTTTGAGTAGAGCAGACATTTCCATATATTTTTGTTAGCTGCATGTGTGACATAACTCCACCAGTCCTATTTATGATATAATTTACAAAGATTATACATAAAAATTAAAATAAATGTATAATGTTTTATTTTTATCAATTAGAATATTTGAGTTTAACCATAATATTCGTTGTAATATCTGTTCTGTCTTTTCTGGTGGATTAAACTGAATTTGCAACCAATTTCTATGGCTTGTTTTAAAAATAGCAACATTTTTTAGATTATTTCATTTTCAAATAACCAAAAGTTAGAGGTTGAATCTGAATAAAGGGAAAAAGGCCATTCTTGAACATGGGGTGAGACATCCAGTGGGGAGAACAAGTATTTGATACACTGTCGATTTTGCGGGTTTTCCTACTTACAAAGCATGTAGAGGTCTGTCATTTTTATCATAGGTACACTTCAACTGTGAGAGACAGAATCTAAAACAAAAATCCAGAAAATCACATTGTATGATTTTTAAGTAATTAATTTGCATTTTATTGCATGATATAAGTATTTGATCAGCTACCAACCAGTAAGAATTCCGGCTCTCACAGACCTGTTAGTTTTTCTTTAAGAAGCCCTCCATTCTCCACTCATTACCTGTATTAACTGCACCTGTTTGAACACGTTACCTGTATAAAAGACACCTGTCCACACACTCAATCAAACAGACTCCAACCTCTCCACAATGGCCAAGACCAGAGAGCTGTGTAAGGACATCAGGGATAAAATTGTAGACGTGCACAAGGCTGGGATGGGCTACAGGACAATAGGCAAGCAGCTTGGTGAGAAGGCAACAACTGTTGGCGAAATTATTAGAAAATGGAAGAAGTTCAAGATGACGGTCAATCACCCTCGGTCTGGGGCTCCATGCAAGATCTCACCTTGTGGGGCATCAATGACCATGAGGAAGGTGAGGGGTCAGCCCAGAACTACACGGCAGGACCTGGTCAATGACCTGAAGAGAGCTGGGACCACACTCTCAAAGAAAACCATTAGTAACACACCACGCAGTCATGGATTAAAATCCTGCAGCACACGCAAGGTCCCCCTGCTCAAGCCAGTGCATGTCCAGGCCCGTCTGAAGTTTGCCTATGACCATCTGGATGATCCAGAGGAGGAATGGGAGAAGGTCATGTGGTCTGATGAGACAAAAATAGAGCTTTTTGGTCTAAACTCCACTCGCCGTGTTTGGAGGAAGAAGAAGGATGAGTACAACCCCAAGAACACCATCCCAACCGTGAAGCATGGAGGTGGAAACATCATTCTTTGGGGATGCTTTTCTGCAAAGGGGACAGGACGACTGCACCGCATTGAAGGGAGGATGGATGGGGCCATGTATTGCGACATCTTGGCCAACAACCTCCTTCCCTCAGTAATAGCATTGGAGATGGGTCGTGGCTGGGTCTTCCAGCATGACAACGACCCGAAACACACAGCCAGGGCAACTAAGGAGTGGCTCCGTAAGAAGCATCTCAAGGTCCTGGAGTGGCCTAGCCAGTCTCCAGACCTGAACCCAATAGAAAATCTTTGGAGGGAGCTGAAAGTCCATATTGCCCAGCGACAGCCCCGAAACCTGAAGGATCTGGAGAAGGTCTGTATGGAGGAGTGGGCCAAAATCCCTGCTGCAGTGTGTGCAAACCTGGTCAAGACCTACAGGAAACATATGATCTCTGTAATTGGAAACAAAGGTTTCTGTATCAAATATTAAGTTCTGCTTTTCTGATGTATCAAATACTTATGTCATGCAATAAAATGCAAATGAATTACTTAAAAATCATACAATGTGATTTTCTGGATTTTTGTTTTAGATTCCGTCTCTCACAGTTGAAGTGTACCTATGATAAAAATTACAGACCTCTACATGCTTTGTAAGTAGGAAAACCTGCAAAATCGGCAGTGTATCAAATACTTGTTCTCCCCACTGTATATCTTACTAGGTCAGGATTTGTAATCCTCTATACATCCACTAGTTCCAATATATCTATGTAATTTGTGATTTCCTAAAGTGTATAAGGGTGAAAGTTTGTAGTGTGATTTCCTTTAAGATCCATTGAGGTATTTAAAACCATATTATAATCTCCCACCATAATAACAGAGTCTTGTATTGCTTGTGGTATTCTTGATAAGTTACAGTACATTCAAAAAGTATTCAGAGCCCTTGACTTTTTCCACATTTTGCTACGTTACAGCCTTATTCTAAAACAAATTAAATAAAACATGTTCCTCATCAATCTACACACAATACCCCATATTGACAAAGCAAAAACACGTTTTAAGAAATTTGTCCAAATTTATTACAAATAAAAACAAAAATACCTTATTTACGTACGTATTCAGACCCTTTGCTATGAGACTCGAAATTGAGCTCAGGTGCATCCTGTTTCCATTGATCATGCTTGAGATGTTTCTACAACTTGATTGGAGTCCACCTGTGGTAAGTTCAATTGATTGGACATGATTTGGAAAGGCACATACCTGTCTATATAAGGGCCCTGTCAAGATCGTTGAGAGACGGGTCGGACCAAGGTGCAGCGTGAAAAGCGTACATGTTTATTAACTCAATAAACATACAACAAAACAAGAAACAACGTAACGTGAAGTCCTCCGGCTATACACATACAAGCCTAAATGGAACAAGATCCCACAATACAACGTAGGAAATAGGCTCCCTAAGTATGATCCCCAATCAGAGACAACGAGCGACAGCTGCCTCTGATTGGGAATCATACCCGGCCAAACATAGACCTAGAACAACTAGAACCTAAACATAGATATACATAACATAGAACTACAATAGACATTCACACCCTGACTCAACAAACAAGAGTTCCATAGGTCAGGGCGTGTCGTGGCACAGATCTGGGGAAGGGTACCAAAACATTTCTGCAGCATTGAACGTCCCCAAGAACACAGTGGCCTCCATCATTCTTAAATGGAATAAGTTTGGAACCACCAATACTCTTCCTAGAGCTGGCTGCCCGGCCAAACTGAGCAATCGGGGGAGAACAGCCTTGGTCAGGGAGGTGACCAAGAACCTTATGGTCACTCTGACAGAGCTCCAGAGTTCCTCTGTGGAGATGGGAGAACCTTCCAGAAGGACAACCATCTCTGCAGCACTCCACCAATAAGGCCTTTATAGTAGAGGGGCCAGACAGAAGCCACTCCTCAGTAAAAGGCACAATACAGCCCGCTTGGAGTTTGCCAAAAGGCTCCTAAAGACTCTCAGATGATGTGAAACAAGATTCTTTGGTCTGATGGAACCAAGATTGAAGTCTTTGGCCTGAATGCCAAGCGCCACGTCTGGAAGAATCCTGGTACCATGCCTACGGTGAAGCATGGTGGTGGCAGCATCATGCTGTGGGGATATTGTTCAGCGGCAGGGACTGGGAGACTAGTCAGGATCGAGGGAAAGATTAATGGAGCAAAGTACAGAGAGATCCTTGATGAAAACCTGCTTCAGAGTGCTCAGGGCATCAGACTGGGGTGAAGGTTCACCTTCCAACATAACAACGACACACAGCCAACACACTGCCAACACAACACAGGAGTGGCTTCGGGACAACGCAGGAGTGGCCCAGCCAGAGCCCGGACTTGAACCCGGTCAAACATCTCTGGAGAGACCTGAAAATAGCTGTGCAGCGATGCTCCCCATCTAACCTGACAGAGCTTGAGAGGATCTGCAGAGAAGAATGGGAGAAACTCCCCAAATACAGGTGTGCCAAGCTTGTAGCATCATACCCATGAAGACTCCCCCACACCATAACACCTCCTCCTCCATGCTTTACAGTGGGAACTACACATGCGGAGATCATCCATTCACCCACACCGCATCTCACAAAGACACGGTGGTTGTAACCAAAAATCTCCAATTTGGATACAAGACCAAAGGACACATTTCCACCGGTCTAATGTCCATTGCTCGTGTTTCTTGGCCCAAGAAGGTCTCTTCTTTTATTGGTGTCCTTTAGTAGTGGCTTCTTTGCAGCAATTCGACCATGAAGGCCTGATTCACACAGTCCCCTCTGAACAGTTGATGTTGAGATGTGTCTGTTACTTGAACTCTGTGAAGCATTTATTTGGGCTGCAATTTCTGAGGCTGGTAACTCTAATGAACTTATCTTCTGCAGTAGAGGTAACTCTGGGTCTCCCATTCCTGTAGCGTTCCTCATGAGAGCCAGTGTCATCATTGCTTATTTGAGCTGTTCTTGCCATAATATGGACTTGGTCTTTTACCAAAGAGGGCTATCTTCTGTATACCACCCCTCTACCTTGTCACAACACAACTGATTGGCTCAAATGCATTAAGAAGGAAATAAATTCCACAAATTAACTTTTAAGAAGGCACACCTGTTAATTTGAATGCATTCCAGGTGACTACCTCATGAAGCTTGTTTAGAGAATGCCAAGAGTGTGCAACGCTGTCATCAATGGAAAGGATGGCTATTTTGATTTGTTTAACACTTTTTGGGTTACTACATGATTCCATATGTGATATTTCATTGTTTTGATGTCTTCACTATTATACTACAATGTAAAAAATAGTAAATTAAAGAAAAACACTTGAATAAGCAGGTGTGTCCAAACGTTGACTTGTAGTGAATTTATCTTAAGTAACAAGGTTCATGGAATCAATAATTTGCTAGAACCAGATGACATTCATATTCTGACAACCTCTGAAACTCACTTAGATAATACCTTTGATGATACAGTTGTAGCAATACAAGGTTATAACATTTACAGAAAGGACAGAAATGTTGTGGTCTATATTCAGAACCACATTCCTGTAAAGCTTAGAGAGGATCTCATGTTAAATAATGTTGAAGTAATATGGCTACATGTTCACCTGCCTCATCGAAAGTCCATTCTGGTGGGAAGCTGCTATAGACCACCAAGTGCTAACAGTCAGTATCTGGATAACGTGTGAAATGCTTGATAATATACATTATATCAATAGAGAGGTATACTTTCTGGGTGATTTAAATATTGACTGGCTTTCATCAGGCTGCCCACTCAAGGTCTTGGCACCTGTTTGAACTTGTTATCAGTATAAAAGACACCTGTCCACAACCTCAAACAGTCACACTCCAAACTCCACTATGGCCAAGACCAAAGAGCTGTCAAAGGACACCAGAAACAAAATTGTAGACCTGCACCAGGCTGGGAAGACTGAATCTGCAATAGGTAAGCAGCTTGGTTTGAAGAAATCAACTGTGGGAGCAATTATTAGGAAATGGAAGACATAAAAGACCACTGATAATCTCCCTTAATCTGGGGCTCCACGCAAGATCTCACCCCGTGGGGTCAAAATGATCACAAGAACGGTGAGCAAAAATCCCAGAACCACATGGGGGGACCTAGTGAATGACCTGCAGAGAGCTGGGACCAAAGTAACAAAGCCTACCATCAGTAACACACTATGCCGCCAGGGACTCAAATCCTGCTTAAGCCAGTACATGTCCAGGCCCGTCTGAAGTTTGCTAGAGTACATTTGGATGATCCAGAAGAGGATTGGGAGAATGTCATATGGTCAGATGAAACCAAAATATAACTTTTTGGTAAAAACTCAACTCGTCGTGTTTGGAGGACAAAGAATGCTGAGTTGCATCCAAAGAACACCATACCTACTGTGAAGCATGGGGGTGGAAACATCATGCTTTGGGGCTGTTTTTCTGCAAAGGGACCAGGACGACTGATCCGTGTAAAGGAAAGAATGAATGGGGCCATGTATCGTGAGATTTTGAGTGAAAACCTCCTTCCATCAGCAAGGGCATTGAAGATGAAACGTGGCTGGGTCTTTCAGCATGACAATGATCCCAAACACACCGCCCGGGCAACGAAGGAGTGGCTTCGTAAGAAGCATTTCAAGGTCCTGGAGTGGCCTAGCCAGTCTCCAGATCTCAACCCCATAGAAAATCTTTGGAGGGAGTTGAAAGTCTGTGTTGCCCAGCGACAGCCCCAAAACATCACTGCTCTAGAGGAGATCTGCATGGAGGAATGGGCCAAAATACCAGCAACAGTGTGTGAAAACCTTGTGAAGACTTACAGAAAACGTTTGACCTGTGTTGTTGCCAACAAAGGGTATATAATGCATGTCAAAAATGTTATAAATTCATTTGCATTTTAATTAGGGAAATAAGTATTTGACCCCCTCTCAATCAGAAAGATTTCTGGCTCCCAGGTGTCTTTTATACAGGTAACAAGCTGAGATTAGGAGCACACTCTTAAAGGGAGTGCTCCTAATCTCAGTTTGTTACCTGTATAAAAGACACCTGTCCACAGAAGCATTCAATCAATCAGATTCAAAACTCTCCACCATGGCCAAGATCAAAGAGCTCTCCAAGGATGTCAGGGACAAGATTGTAGACCTACACAAGGCTGGAATGGGCTACAAGACCATCGCCAAGCAGCTTGGTGAGAAGGTGACAACGGTTGGTGCTATTGTTCGCAAATGGAAGAAACACAAAACAACTGTCAAATTCCCTCGGCCTGGGGCTCCATGCAAGATCTCACCTCGTGGAGTTGCAATGATCATGAGAACGGTGAGGAATCAGCCCAGAACTACACGGGAAGATCTTGTCAATGATCTCAAGGCAGCTGGGACCATAGTCGTCAAGAAAACAATTGGTAACACACTACGCTGTGAAGGACTGAAATTCTGCAGCGCCCGCATGGTCCCCGTGCTCAAGAAAGCACATATACATGCCCGTCTGAAGTTTTCCAATGGACATCTGAAGGATTCAGAGGAGAACTGGGTGAAAGTAATGTGGTCAGATGAGACCAAAATGGAGCTCTTTGGCATCAACTCATCTCGCCGTGTTTGGAGGAGGAGGAATGCTGCCTATGACCCCAAGAACACCATCCCCACCGTCAAACATGGAGGTGGAAACATTATGCTTTGGGGGTGTTTTTCTGCTAAGGGGACAGGACAACTTCACCGCATCAAAGGCACGATGGACGGGGCCATGTACCATCAAATCTTGGGTGAGAACCTCCTTCCCTCAGCCAGGGTATTGAAAATGGGTCGTGGATGGGTATTCCAGCATGACAATGACCCAAAACACACGGCCAAGGCAACAAAGACGTGGCTCAAGAAGAAGCACATTAAGGTCCTGGAGTGGCCTAGCCAGTCTCCAGACCTTAATCCCATAGAAAATCTGTGGAGGGAGCTGAAGGTTCGAGTTGCCAAACGTCAGCCTTGAAAACTTAATGACTTGGAGAAGATCTGCAAAGAGGAGTGGAACAAAATCCCTCCTGAGATGTTTGCAAAACTGGTTGGCAACTACAAGAAACGTCTGACCTCTGTGATTGCCAACAAGGGTTTTGCCACCAAGTACTAAGTCATGTTTTGCAGAGGGGTCAAAAACTTATTTCCCTCATTAAAATGCAAATTAATTTATAACATTTTTGACATGCGTTTTTCTGGATTTTTTTGTTGTTATTCTGTCTCTCACTGTTCAAATAAACCTACCATTAAAATTATAGACTGATAATTACTTTGTCAGTGGGCAAACGTACAAAATCAGCAGGGGATCAAATACTTTTTTCCCTCACTGTAAGTGTGGAAGAGGTGAAAAAAGTATTATTGTCGATCAACAATGACAAGCCACCGGGGTCTGACAACTTGGATGGACATTTACTGAGGATAATAGCGAACGATTTTGCCACTCCTATTTGCCATATCTTCAATTTAAGCCTACTAGAAAGTGTGCGCCCTCAGGCCTCGAGGGAAGCAAAGGTTTTCCCCTACCTAAGAATAGTAAAGCCCCCTTAACTGGCTCAAATAGCCGACCAATCAGCCTGTTACCAACCCTTAGTAAACGTTTGGAAAAAATTGTGTTTGACCAGATAAAATGCTATTTCACAGTAAACAAATTGACAACAGACTTTCAGCACGCTTATAGGGAAGGACATTCAACAAGCACAGCACTTACACAAATGACGGATGATTGGTTGAGAGAAAATGATGATAAAAAGATTGTGTGGGCTGTTTTGTTAGACTTCAGTGCGGCTTTTGACAGAATTGATCATAGTCTGTTGCTGGAAAAACGTATGTGTTATGGCTTTACACCCCCTGCTATATTGTGGATAAAGAGTTACCTGTCTAACAGAACACAGAGGGTGTTCTTTAATGGAAGCCTCTCCAACAAAATCCAGGTAGAATCAGAAATTCCCCAGGGCAGCTGTCTAGGCCCCTTACTTTTTTCAATCTTTACTAACAACATGCCACTGGCTTGTGTCAGTGTGTCTATGTATGCGGATGACTCAACACTATACACGTCAGCTACCACAGCGACTGAAATGACTGCAACACTTAACAAAGAGCTGCAGTTAGTTTCAGAATGGTGTTAAGGAATAAGTTAGTCCTAAATATTTCAAAAATTAAAAGCATTGTATTTGGGACAAATCATTTACTAAACCCTAAACCTCAACTAAATCTTGTAATGAATAATGTGGAAATTGAGCAAGTTGAGGAGACTAAATTGCCTGGAGTAACCCTGGATTGTAAACTGTCATAGTCAAAAGATATTGATACAACAGTAGCTTGGATGGGGAGAAGTCTGTCTATAATAAAGTGCTGCTCTGCATTCTTAACAGCACTATCAACAAGGCAGGTCCTACAGGCCCTAGTTTTGTCGCATCTGGACTACTGTTCAGTCGTGTGGTCAGAACAGGACAGCACGGCTGGCCTTTGGATGTACACAGAGAGCTAACATTCATAATATGCATGTCAATCTCTCCTGCCTCAAAGTGGAGGAGAGATTGACATCATCACGACTTGTATTTGTGAGAGGTATTGACATGTTGAATGAACCGAGCTGTCTGTTTTAACTACTGGCACACAGCTCGTACACCCATGCATACCCCACAAGACATGCCACCAGAGGTCTCTTCACAGTCCCCAAGTCAAGAACAGACTATGGGAGGCGCACAGTACTACATAGAGCCATGACTACATGGAACTCTATTCCACATCAAATAACTCATGCCAGCAGTAAAATTAGATTTAAAAAACATATAAAAATACACCTTATGGAACAGCGGGGACTGTGAAGCAACACAAACATAGACACATGTATCCAAACACACGATAACATATGCACTATACACACTTACACATGGATTTAGTGTTATAGATATGTGATAGTAGAGTATTGGCCTGAGGGCACACACTTAATATGTTGTGAAATATGTTATGAATGTATTGTAATGTTTTTAAAATGTATACTGCCTTAATTTTGCTGGACCCCAAGAAGAGTAGCTGCTACATACAGTGGGGAGAACAAGTATTTGATACACTGCCAATTTTGCAGGTTTTCCTACTTACAAAGCATGTAGAGGTCTGTAATTTTTATCCTAGGTACACTTCAACTGTGAGAGACGGAATCTAAAACAAAAATCCAGAAAATCACATTGTATGATTTTTAAGTCATTAATTCGCATTTTATTGCATGACATAAGTATTTGATACATCAGAAAAGCAGAACTTTATATTTGGTACAGAAACCTTTGTTTGCAATTACAGAGATCATACGTTTCTTGTAGGTCTTGACCAGGTTTGCACACACACTGCAGCAGGGATTTTGGCCCACTCCTCCATACAGACCTCCAGATCCTTCAGGTTTCGGGGCTGTCGCTGGGCAATACGGACTTTCAGCTCCCTCCAAAGATTTTCTTTTGGGTTCAGGTCTGGAGACTGGCTAGGCCACTCCAGGACCTTGAGATGCTTCTTACGGAGCCACTCCTTAGTTGCCCTGGCTGTGTGTTTTGGGTCGTTGTCATGCTGGAAGACCCAGCCACGACCCATCTTCAATGCTCTTACTGAGGGAAGGAGGTTGTTGGCCAAGATCTCGCGATACATGGCCCCATCCATCCTCCCCTCAATACGGTGCAGTCATCCTGTCCCCTTTGCAGAAAAGCATCCCCAAAGAATGATGCTTCCACCTCCATGCTTCACGGTTTGGATGGTGTTCTCGGGGTTGTACTCATCCTTCTTCTTCCTCCAAACACGGCGAGTGGAGTTTAGACCAAAAAGCTCTACTTTTGTCTCATCAGACCACATGACCTTCTCCCATTCCTCCTCTGGATCATCCAGATGGTCATTGGCAAACTTCAGACGGGCCTGGACATGCGCTGGCTTGAGCAGGGGGACCTTGCGTGCACTGCAGGATTTTAATCCATGACGGCATAGTGTGTTACTAATGGTTTTCTTTGAGACTGTGGTCCCAGCTCTCTTCAGGTCATTGACCAGGTCCTGCCGTGTAGTTCTGGGCTGATCCCTCACCTTCCTCATTATCCTTGATGCCCCACGAGGTGAGATCTTGCATGGAGCCCCAGACCGAGGGTGATTGACCATCATCTTGAACTTCTTCCATTTTCTAATAATTGCGCCAACAGTTGTTGCCTTCTCACCAAGCTGCTTGCCTATTGTCCTGTAGCCCATCCCAGCCTTGTGCAGGTCTACAATTTTATCCCTGATGTCCTTACATAGCTCTCTGGTTTTGGCCATTGTGGAGAGGTTGGAGTCTGTTTGATTGAGTGTGTGGACAGGTGTCTTTTATACAGGTAACGAGTTCAAACAGGTGCAGTTAATACAGGTAATGAGTGGAGAACAGGAGGGCTTCTTAAAGAAAAACTAACAGGTCTGTGAGAGCCGGAATTCTTACTGGTTGGTAGGTGATCAAATACTTATGTCATGCAATAAAATGCAAATTAATTACTTAAAAATCATACAATGTGATTTTCTGGATTTTTGTTTTAGATTCCGTCTCTCACAGTTGAAGTGTACCTATGATAAAAATTACAGACCTCTACATGCTTTGTAAGTAGGAAAACCTGCAAAATCGGCAGTGTATCAAATACTTGTTCTCCCCACTGTACGTATCAAAGTTATTGTTAATTAATATCATCACACCTTTTGAGTTTCTTTGCCCATGGAATAAGTATATTTTGCCCTCCCCCCTAGACCTTTTTCCACACAACTTCATCTAAAATAATATAATAAGTTTCCTGTAAACAATATATATTATATTCCTTCTCTTTTCGCCAGGTAAATACGGATCGTCTTTTCTTATTATCTTCTAAGCCATTACAATTATAACTGGCTATACTTATTTAACCTTTTACCATAATGTGATAAAAGTTTCAATTCTATTTGTCATAATATACACTACCGTTCAAAAGTTTGGAGTCACTTAGAAATGTCCTTGTTTTCTAAAGAAAAGCAATTTTTTTGTCCATTAAAATAACTCAGAAATACAGTGTAGACATTGTTCATGTTCTAAATGGCTATTGTAGCTGATTTTTTATGTAATATCTATATAGGCGTACAGAGGCCCATTATCAGCAACCATCAGTCCTGTGTTCCAATGGCACGTTGTGTTTGCTAATCCAAGTTTATCATTTAAGGCTAATTGATCGTTATAAAACACTTTTACAATTATGTTAGCACAGCTGAAAACTGTTGTGCTGATTAAAGATGCAATAAAACTGGCCTTCTTGAGACTAGTTCAGTATCTGGAGCATCAGCAATTGTGGGTTCGATTACAGAATCAAAATGGCCAGAAACAAATAACTTTCTTCTGAAACTCGTCAGTCTATTCTTGTTCTGAGAAATGAAGGCTATTCCATGCGATAAATTGCCAAGAAACTGAAGATCTCGTACAACGCTGTGTACTATTCCCTTCACAGAACAGTGCAAACTGGCTCTTACCAGAATAGAAAGAGGAGTGGGAGGCCCCGGGGCACAACTGAGCAAGAGGACAAATACATTAGAGTGTCTAGTTTGAGAAACAGGACGGCGCTTGATTGGAGCCAATTTCCTCCTACAACAGGATAATGACCCAAACCACAGCTCCAAACTATGCAAGAACTATTTAGGGAAGAAGCAGTCAGCTGGTATTCTGTCTATAATGGAGTGGCCAGCACAGTCACCGGATCTCAACCCTATTGAGCTGTTGTGGGAGCAGCTTGACCGTATGGTACGTAAGAAGTGCCAATCAAGCCAATCCAACTTGTGGGAGGTGCTTCAGGAAGCATGGGGTGAAATCTCTTGAGATTACCTCAACAAATTGACAACTAGAATGCCAAAGGTCTGCAAGGTTGTAATTGCTGCAAATGGAGGATTCTTTGACGAAAGCTAAGTTTGAAGGACACAATTATTATTTCCATTAAAAATCATTATTTCTAACCTTGTCAATGACTACATTTCCTATGCATTTTGCTATATTTCCTATTCAAACTCATTTCATGTATGTTTTCATGGGAAACAAGGACATTTCTAAGTGACCCCAAACTTTTGAACGGTAGTGTATGTTTGTAATTGTCAAAGACTATTGTCAAAGACTCCAGCCACCCTAGTCATAGACACCCTAGTCATAGACTGTTCTCTCTACCCCCAAGCCATAAGACTCCTGAACAGCTAATCAAATGGCAACCCAGACTATTTGCATTGTCCCCCCCACTCCACCCCACCCTCCTATTTTACGCTGCTGCTACTCTCTGTTTATTCCCTATGCATAGTCACTTTAACTCTACCTACATGTAAATATTACCTAAATTACCTCGACTAACCTGTGCCCCCGCACATTGACCCTGTACCGGTACCCCCTGTATATAGCCTCGCTACTTTTTACTTATCTATTTTTTACTTAACACTTATTTTTCTTAAAACTGCATTGTTGGTTAAGAGCTTGTAAGTAAGCATTTCACTGTTGTATTCGGCGCATGTGACAAATAACATTTTATTTAATTTAATTAAACTTACCATTAAAAAGTACCATAATGATTGAGTGTCCATATAGCTGTACCATGGTATTGTGCTGCTACTGAGTAAATCTCCAATTGTTCTCCACCATTTCAACCTACTAAAACCTCAACCCATCCCAAGTTGGATTGTCATCTCAGCGACTGGCAGACCACCCCTGTCCACCTGTATCCTAGGGCCTTTGAGAAATTGGGACCCATCCTTTACAAAAAGCACACAGTGCCACCACAGTACAGAAGCAGATTAACTGCCAAAAGCATTTCCAATGCCCTCACCTCAATTGCATTGTATAAAGTAATTTTAAAGAAGATAGGTATATATAAATTATATACACTACCGGTCAAAAGTTTTAGAACACCTACTCATTCAAGGGTTTTAATTTATTTTTACTATTTTCTACATTGTAGAATAATAGTGAAGACATCAACACTATAAAATAACGCATATGGAATCATGTAGTAACCAAAAAAGTGTTAAACAAATCAAAATATATTTTATATTTGAGATTCTTCAAATAGCCACCCTTTGCCTTCATGACAGCTTTGCACACTCTTGGCATTCTCTCAACCAGCTTCATGAGGTAGTCACCTGGAATGCATTTCAATTAACAGGTGTGCCTTCTTAAAAGTTAGTTTGTAGGATTTCTTTCCTTCTTAATGTGTTTGAGCCAATCAGTTGTGTTGTGACAAGGTAGGGGGGGGGGGGGGGGGGGGGGTATACAGAGGATAGCCCTATTTGGTAAAAGACCAAGTCCATATTATGGCAAAAACAGCTCAAATAAGCAAAGAGAAATGACAGGCCATCACAACTCCTGCTCGCATACACACACACGGGCTCTAGCATTTGCAACCATTTTCCTTTTTCACTCACTTAACTACACTTTTCCAAACACAAAAACACACACTCCACCTTCTATCACAATATATTCGCACATACAGTGGGGGAAAAAAGTATTTAGTCAGCCACCAATTGTACAAGTTTTCCCATTTAAAAAGATGAGAGAGGCCTGTAATTTTCATCATAGGTACACGTCAACTATGACAGACAAATTGAGATTTTTTTTTCCAGAAAATCACATTGTAGGATTTTTTATGAATTTATTTGCAAATTATGGTGGAAAATAAGTATTTGGTCACCTACAAACAAGCAAGATTTCTGGCTCTCACAGACCTGTAACTTCTTCTTTAAGAGGCTCCTCTGTCCTCCACTCGTTACCTCTATTAATGGCACCTGTTTGAACTTGTTATCAGTATAAAAGACACCTGTCCACAACCTCAAACAGTCACACTCCAAACTCCACTATGGCCAAGACCAAAGAGCTGTCAAAGGACACCAGAAACAAAATTGTAGACCTGCACCAGGCTGGGAAGACTGAATCTGCAATAGGTAAGCAGCTTGTTTTGAAGAAATCAACTGTGGGAGCAATTATTAGGAAATGGAAGACATACAAGACCACTGATAATCTCCCTCGATCTGGTGCTCCACGCAAGATCTCACCCCGTGGGGTCAAAATGATCACAAGAACGGTGAGCAAAAATCCCAGAAACACACGGGGGGACCTAGTGAATGACCTGCAGAGAGCTGGGACCAAAGTAACTAAGCCTACCATCAGTAACACACTACGCCGCCAGGGACTCAAATCCTGCAGTGCCAGACGTGTCCCCCTGCTTAAGCCAGTACATGTCCAGACCCGTCTGAAGTTTGCTAGAGTGCATTTGGATGATCCAGAAGAGGATTGGGAGAATGTCATATGGTCAGATGAAACCAAAATAGTAAAAACTCAACTCGTCGTGTTTGGAGGACAAAGAATGCTGAGTTGCATCCAAAGAACACCATACCTACTGTGAAGCATGGGGGTGGAAACATCATGCTTTGGGGCTGTTTTTCTGCAAAGGGACCAGGATGACTGATCCGTGTAAAGGAAAGAATGAATGGGGCCATGTATCGTGAGATTTTGAGTGAAAACCTCCTTCCATCAGCAAGGGCATTGAAGATGAAACGTGGCTGGGTCTTTCAGCATGACAATGATCCCAAACACACCGCCCGGGCAACGAAGGAGTGGCTTCGTAAGAAGCATTTCAAGGTCCTGGAGTGGCCTAGCCAGTCTCCAGATCTCAACCCCATAGAACATCTTTGGAGGGGGTTGAAAGTCCGTGTTGCCCAGCGACAGCCCCAAAACATCACTGCTCTAGAGGAGATCTGCATGGAGGAATGGGCCAAAATACCAGCAACAGTGTGTGAAAACCTTGTGAAGACTTACAGAAAACGTTTGACCTGTGTCATTGCCAACAAAGGGTATATAACAAAGTATTGAGAAACTTTTGTTATTGACCAAATACTTATTTTCCACCATAATTTGCAAATAAATTCATTAAAAATCCTACAATGTGATTTTCTGGCATTTTTTTTCTCATTTTGTCTGTCATAGTTGACGTGTACCTATGATGAAAATGACAGGCCTCTCTCATCTTTTTAAGTGGGAGAACTTGCACAATTGGTGGCTGACTAAATACTTTTTTTCCCCACTGTACCCACATACTGTGCCTTCTATGTCTTCTGTTTGCTGTATTTTTTTATCCCTACAATGTTGATTCCTATCTAATTTCGGGCTTTTAAGTACTTTTGTGTTCCAGTTCCTTATATTTGAAGATGTATTATTTCAATAATTATCCTTTCTTCTAATGCTGTCTTTTATCTATTTATAAATACTATGAATAGAAAGTCGACTACTAATTATTTTTACAACATTCCCTATCTTGAATGGTACAGTGTATTTGTAGTTTATTGTTTTATCAATTGTTGTATTTGATTGTTTTTCCGTAAAAAAAAAAATGAAAATCCCTACCATGGATAGTGTTGGGTGTTCCATTATTTTACTCCTCTATGGGAACTTTGCATTATTTAAAATAGCCATGGAGAAGTCTTGGTGTCTCGGAACAGTTGATTATCAATGTACATGTTTATCGACTACGACAGCTACATGTTTCCCTTGAAGTCTATTCACCTTGAAGAGTGGGTAACGAACTTTGCGCCGTTCTGCAATTTCCTTCAGGAACTGATCATTCATTCCTATTTTCGTGCCAGCGAGTCTTTTACCCAGGCTTTTAACCATTATTTTATGTTTAAAGAAAGCAAATTTGGCAACGATTGGGTGCTCGTATCTCTGTCCTCTCTGTCCTAAACGGTGTACACATTCAAGTTTGATTTTGTCGACAGTATCGCCTGGGATCTGTAGCGCTTTAAAAAAGGAATTCTTTCAACACACTTTCAGGATCTTCACCTTCACTTTAATAGCAGTAAGTACCAGATATTCTCACATGGATCTAGTCTGTATTCCAAGTAAGTCTTCTCTCAGAAACATGTTCTTCCTTTTAAGTTCTTTAACGTTCGTTTCAATAGTTTTGACCTTTAAGCTTGTTTGTTTCTTTCTCCATTGTCGCAGCTTTTTCATCACTCATTTCGAGGCTCGCCTTCATCTAATTTATTTATTTACTGACAAGTTCAAGTACGTCCACTTTGTCATTTATTGATTTTAGCAGGTCGGTTTCCATTCTTACCGTACCAGGTGGTGAAAAGCATAAATCATCAGTGTCTGTCGAGGAATCTCTTAGTTTTCTCTTGGAGTTTGGTTCTCCGTTTATTCCATGGTTCCTCTCCGACATCTATTGGCCTTGACTGTGTTCATAATATTTATCAATAAACTTCTCTAGCCTTATACATTTTTGGGGGGTTATTATCCAGCTTGAATGGTATTGCCCATGAGTAAATAGATCAGTGTAGTACTACTATTTAGTCAGTTTTAGAGATATTGAATATTGCGATTTTTCATGAGGCATTCTGCACCGCCATCTGCAGTCCGCCTTCTCTGTCCCTCTAGTGCAGGGGTGGGCAAACCTTTTGGCTCAAGGGCCACATTGAGTTTTTGAAACCAAGTGAAGGGCCACATACTATATGCGTGACAAAACATGTGAAGCCTTTATTCATTTTCACATTGACACGCATCTACTAGTGTACTGTAGGTGTGCATATGCTTGCATAACAATTCTACCCTTGTACCATCTTTACCCTTGTTTTTTGTGAGATTTTAAAAAAACTATTTTTCACTACATTTATATAATTTATAACATCACAGACACAGTCAAACATACACACAGATCCTGCATCTCTACCCTTGTAAAGTACAATCAAACTTACAGTCACAATATGCAAACTTAAAATATATATATATATATTATATGACTGGAGACATGCAAAATGTAACAGCAGATGTGTAAATAGAAACTATTCAAAAATTTGAGTGAAACATATGGTAAGAGCATCCGTTTCATTTGGAATGGTCTGTTTTTGAAAACATATTAAAGAACAATTCTCATCTCCATTTTGAGCCATATTTACAGTAATCCAATCACCTCAGCCCAAATCTGACTGATGAGTTATTACCTGTATCCAAGTGCATTGCTGGATAATTCTCACTGCATAACCATCACCATGAAAAAGCATAATCCTTGCCTACCCCAGTCACGGTTATTCAAGTCTTAATGTGAACAATGGGTATCTCAGTCTCAATCTTGGTGAATTCTGAGAAGCAGCGAGAAAACTCAGCATGCAGGTCGATCAAAGTGCTACTGTATGTCTCATGCGATGTGGGCGCGTTCAGTGTGGCCAGAGTCGGAAAATGAGCGAGAGACCAGCTGCTCATTTGTCTGGAGAACAACATAAGTTTGGCCTTGAATGCTTTCACGTTGGAATACAGTTCATGCCCAAAAACACAATTTCCCTGCAGTTTCACATTTAGATTGTTCAGGTGCCCCAATATGTCCACACCGAAAGCAAAGTCGCCCAGCCAGTCTGTGTCTTTCAACTCTGAGAAGTCGTCAGCTTTACCAACCGTATCAAGGAACATACCTATCTCCCCTCTCAGTTCCCACACACAGCAAAATACTTTTCCCAGGCTTAGCCAGCGCACATCTGAATGGTACAACAAGTCCTGGTGCTCTGCCTCTGTGTCATTGAGCAGCTGAATGAACTGACGATGGTTAAGCCCGTATAAAGTTGACTAATTTTACAACCACTTTCACAACATTTTCCAGCTTTAACACACTTTTACACAGGGCTTCCTGATGAATAATACAGTGAAGAAATATACATTCTTCCGAGTTAGTAGGCCAATGTTTTTACCGGTTTGATTTGGTGATCCATCTGTTGTGACGTTTGTCAGTTTGCTCCACGGTAGATTCATTTTTTCCAAGCAGGCAGACACCCTGTCATATAAGTCAGAGCCCCTGGTTGTTCCCATCATTGATTCCATCATTGATTTGCTGTCCATTCTTCTTTAAACACGACATTCAGAGTCCACTTTTCTCATTTTCGCAGCACTCATTTTTCACGTCAAAAGTCATCAAGCAATGAAGTGGCTATGATGACTGAGCGCATTCTGAATCTGACTGTAGGCCCAAATACAGAGCACGCTGCCAGGCTACAGCGCCATCTATTGGAGGTTGTTTGTATATTATGGAATTAGTAATTTTAGGCCAAAAATCGTAACTCAAAGATAATAATATTTAACACATTTCAAAAATGTATCGCGGGCTGGATTGAAGTGCCTGGCAGGCCGTACTTTGCCCCACCTTGCTCTAGTGTCACAGTATTACTTTAGTCACCTGTGTAATGATCATGCTGTTTAATCAGTTTCTTGATATGCCACCCCTGTCAGGTGGATGGATTATCTTGGCAAAGGAGAAATGCTCACTAACAGGGATGTAAACAATTTTGTGCACAACATTTTTGAGAAATAAGCTTTTTGTGCATATGGAACATTTCTGGGATCTTTTATTTCAGCTCATGAAACATGGACCAACACCTTACATGTTGCGTTTATATTTTTGATCAGTATAGTTCATGAAAATCTAGAAATGTTTGACGTCATTGGGAAGTTCTTTGCAACATGCATTGTATATTTTTTTTTATTTAATTTACTAGGCAAGTCAGTTAAGAACAAATTCTTATTTACAATGACGGCCTACACTGGCCAAACCCGGACAACGCTGGGCCAATTGTGCACCGCCCTATGGGACTCCCAATCACGGCCGGTTGTGATACAGTCTGGAATCGAACCAGGTGGTCTGTAGTGACGCCTCAAGCACTGAGATGCAGTGCCTTAGACCGCTGCGCCACTCGGGAGCCCATATGGACCCATCCAAATATAGTTATCATATCGTTCATATCACATCTCCAGAACATAAACGGTGTTCATTATTGAGTAACCTACCATGTCACTTCCTGCTGTGGTCATTTCGATCTTCCCCTCGAAAGGACCCCATGTGGTGCCCACAGGAAGTGTCCTGGCGAGAACGTGTCCGCCGCTCTGTACCGTCATAGAGAATCTCCAGCTCTCCTAGAAAACAGAACACAATCAGTATTTCGATTATTTATTAACATTCAATCATAGCTCAGCTTGAGTTCATAATTCTTTAATAAAAACAGTTTTCTTCTCCATACTATCTTAATGAGGCACCACACCACTGCAGTAACATTTTCAGTCAGAGTACTACTGTATAATAGTCTTCGGTATACTCTTAGAAAAAAAGGTGCTATCTAGAACCTTAAAGGGTTCTTCGGCTGTCCCCATAGGAGAACCCTTAGAGCACTTTTTGGTTGCAGGTAGAACCCTTTTCGGTTCAATGTAGAAGCCTTTCTACAGAGGGTTCCATGAGGAACCCCAAAAGGTTATTCTACCTGGAACCCAGGTAGACAACATTTTGCTAGAGAACATTTATCACAAGGTCCCTTCAGTGTATTTCAGGATGACTTCCTTCCTCATCATACTGAACACCACCACCATCACCATCCTCACTGAGCCCCTCTTCCCTCTGCAGTCAATTACCAGATCATAAACTTCACTAAAGCGACTCTCCCTAGCCTCGATCCTTGATGACCTAGTTGTCTCTTTGATTAGGCATTAGCCCCAGCAGTTTGGACAGCCAACAGATAGTGGATTAAGCCTCTTTGTCCATCCAGTTTTGATGTGAACAGTGGAGGAGAGTGTTAGGAGTTGAGATGGAATTTCGAATACCTGAGGGCTATTGGCTACTGGCAAGCAGATTATCTTTTCTAGCCCTATTCCTAACCATGATCTTGGAGTTGATAATTTCTCCTGATGAAGTCAAAACTCTGACCCGAAAGAGCGTTGGATATTATTGACAATTTCGATGTATTTTGGGAACATCCTCAGTTCTTAAAAAGAGACAGCTTGCACCCGAACAGAAGAGGAACTAGGATGCTGAGTGCTAATATCGAAGCGGTACTACAACAATTATGGGATATCAGTCCTTGCCCGCAACAGGTAACCCTCTTTGACTCTTGTTTTAATCCATGTCCTCATTTGAGGTATAGGCCTAATGGTTCAGTTCTAGGCAATCTTGTACTGTATCTATTCCAATTCAAGCCAACCACATGGCATTTTCTAATAAGGGGTTCCCTGCTAAACATGTCATGTTCGTATTTGAAACTCCTTCTGATCTGAAATCCCGCAGCTGCGGCCTTGGACTGATTCATGTAAATGCCAGAAATCTTATTTAGAAAATTTATTTTATTGTAACTCTGGCTTCTCAGACAAACGCGGACATGGTTATAACTGAAACTTGGCTAAAGAAGTCTGCGCCAGACTGATGTGTCTCTGACTGGTAATTATGTTTTTAGATCTGACAGAGTTGGCAGAGGGGTGTCGCCATATACAGTGGGGGAAAAAAGTATTTAGTCAGCCACCAATTGTGCAAGTTCTCCCACTTAAAAAGATGAGAGAGGCCTGTAATTTTCATCATAGGTACACGTCAACTATGACAGACAAAATGAGAATTTCTTTTCCAGAAAATCACATTGTAGGATTTTTAATGAATTTATTTGCAAATTATGGTGGAAAACAAGTATTTGGTCAATAACAAAAGTTTCTCAATACTTTGTTATATATCCTTTGTTGGCAATGACACAGGTCAAACGTTTTCTGTAAGTCTTCACAAGGTTTTCACACACTGTTGCTGGTATTTTGGCCCATTCCTCCATGCAGATCTCCTCTAGAGCAGTGATGTTTTGGGGCTGTCGCTGGGCAACACGGACTTTCAACTCCCTCCAAAGATTTTCTATGGGGTTGAGATCTGGAGACTGGCTAGGCCACTCCAGGACCTTGAAATGCTTCTTACGAAGCCACTCATTCGTTGCCCGGGCGGTGTGTTTGGGATCATTGTCATGCTGAAAGACCCAGCCATGTTTCATCTTCAATGCCCTTGCTGATGGAAGGAGGTTTTCACTCAAAATCTAACGATACATGGCCCCATTCATTCTTTCCTTTACACGGATCAGTCGTCCTGGTCCCTTTGCAGAAAAACAGCCCCAAAGCATGATGTTTCCACCCCCATGCTTCACAGTAGGTATGGTGTTCTTTGGATGCAACTCAGCATTCTTTGTCCTCCAAACATGACGAGTTGAGTTTTTACCAAAAAGTTATATTTTGGTTTCATCTGACCATATGACATTCTCCCAATCCTCTTCTGGATCATCCAAATGTACTCTAGCAAACTTCAGACGGGCCTGGACATGTACTGGCTTAAGCAGGGGGACACGTCTGCACTGCAGGATTTGAGTCCCTGGCGGCGTTGTGTGTTACTGATGGTAGGCTTTGTTACTTTGGTCCCAGCTCTCTGCAGGTCATTCACTAGCTCCCCCCATGTAGTTCTGGGATTTTTGCTCACCGTTCTTGTGATCATTTTGACCCCACGGGGTGAGATCTTGCGTGGAGCCCCAGATCGAGGGAGATTATCAGTGGTCTTGTATGTCTTCCATTTCCTAATAATTGCTCCCACAGTTGATTTCTTCAAACCAAGCTGCTTACCTATTGCAGATTCAGTCTTCCCAGCCTGGTGCAGGTCTACAATTTTGTTTCTGGTGTCCTTTGACAGCTCTTTGGTCTTGGCCATAGTGGAGTTTGGAGTGTGACTGTTTGAGGTTGTGGACAGGTGTCTTTTATACTGATAACAAGTTCAAACAGGTGCCATTAATACAGGTAACGAGTGGAGGACAGAGGAGCCTCTTAAAGAAGAAGTTACAGGTCTGTGAGAGCCAGAAATCTTGCTTGTTTGTAGGTGACCAAATACTTATTTTCCACCATAATTTGCAAATAAATTCATTAAAAATCCTACAATGTGATTTTCTGGATATTTTTTTCTCAATTTGTCTGTCATAGTTGACGTGTACCTATGATGAAAATTACAGGCCTCTCTCATCTTTTTAAGTGGGAGAACTTGCACAATTGGTGGCTGACTAAATACTTTTTTTCCCCACTGTACATAAAGAGCAATTTAAATGTTTCTGTCCATTACCACCTCTGTACCTAAACAATTTGAATGTCTAGTCTTAAATCTGGCCCTTGGTAATAATGCCCATCTGACGCTAGTGGGAATTTATCACCCTCCTTCAGCCTCCTTATGTGCTCTTAGCAAATTGTCTGACCTGCTGTCTAACTATGCTAAATCCGAATGATTAATAGTGGGTGATCTTATTCTGGATTGGTTGATGCCAGTATCTGATAGGCGGAAAGATATTTGTATTGAGCTAAACCTAACTCAGCTGATAACTACTCGCCTCAACTTTAAACACCCTGAAGAATCGACTCTCTTTTATATTATTCTAACAAATGCCCCTCATAAATGTACAGCCAATGGGATATTTGCTAATGAGTTCAGCGACCATTGTCCTATTGCCTGCATAAGAGATGTTTAGCTACCTAAATCTCGCTCACACATTAATACAAATATAAATTTTAATGAGCTGCGGTTGAGTGACTAGTGGGTTGTGTCAATTATGACTGACTCAGATCAGGCCCTTACTTGTTTTATTTCCCTGTTTAACTCTGTTGCAGATAAACATACGCTGTACAATAGACTATGGATAAAATACATGAATTGGCTGAGAAATTACAGGATTTTTTTTAAACTTGGGCTAAGGCTAGACTGTATATAACCTCCCTACTGTTATTTTATTTTACTGCTGCTCTTTAAATATTTGCTATTTTTATTTTTTTCTTAAAAACTGCATTGTTGGTTAAGGGCTTGTTAGCATTTCACTGTAATGTCTACACCTGTTGTATTCGGCGCATGTGGCAAATACAATTTGATTTGATTTTGATTCTATGTATGAATGGCAGTCCTTCAGACATTTGAGAAATAGATGTCTATCTCTGGTTGGAAAAGCAAAATCAACAGATTTCTTGAATTGTGTATCGGAGAGTGGTGGTAATCCAGCCAACCTCTGGAAACAAAACTCCACCCCCCCATTGCCCCAGCAGGTCTTGACAGCCTCTGGTCCCATACTAAATGGACATTTGTACTGCTTTTAATAACAATTCTGCTTCAGCTGGCCACCTAAAAGGATAGTCTATGAAAATGTATCTCATTCCACTAGAGAGAGTCATTTAGTCAGAACGGATTGTAGAGAAAGATGCTCTAACATACTCACTCATATACAGTGCATTCAGAAAGTATTCAGACCCCTTGATTTTTTCCACATTTTGTTACATTACAGCCTTCTTCTAAAATGGATTAAAATCCTCATCAATCTACACACAATACCCCATAACGACAAAGCAAAAACAGGTTGCACATTTATTACAAATAAAAAACAGAAATACCTTTTTTACATAAGTATTCAGACCCTTTGCTATGAGACTCGAAATTGAGCTCAGGTGCATCCTGTTTCTATTGGTCATCCTTGAGAAGTTTCTACAACTTGATTGGAGTCCACCATCAATTCAATTGATTGGGCATGATTTGGAAAAGCACACACCTGTCTATAAAAGGTCCCACAGTTGACAGTGCATGTCAGAGCAAAGGGAGAAGGACCTTGATCAGGGAGGTGACCAAGAACCCGAAGGTCACTCTGCAGAGCTCCAGAGTTCCTCTGTGGAGATGGGAGAACCTACCAGAAGGACAACCATCTCCCCATCCAACCTGACAGAGCTTGAGAGGATCTGCAGAGAAGAATGGGAGAAACTCCCCAAATACAGGTGTGCCAAGCTTGTAGCGTCATACCGAAGAAGACTCAAGGCTGTATCGCTGCCAAAGGTGCTTCAACAAAGTACTGAGTAAAGGATCTAAATACTTATGTAAATGTGATATTTCAGTTTTTCCTTTTTTCCTTATTTGCAACTGTTTCTAAAAACCTGTTTTTGCTTTGTCATTATGGGGTATTGTGTGTAGATTGATGAGGAAACAACAACAATTTAATCAATTTTAGAATAAGGCTGTAATGTAACAAAATGTGGAAAAAGTCAAGGGATCTGAATACTTTCCGAATGCACTGTACTTTATTTTCATTTCAACCATTTGATGTATATGATGTATTAAGTACCTTGCTAAAGATCGATGTAAAACAAATTCACAGGGGCTGATTCACTTGACCCCTTCTTACTACAGCTCTCTGCCCCATTCATTATTGAACCTTGAACCTGTATTTTTAACTTAACAATTGCTACTGGTGTTATCCCTAAGATTTGGAAAGCGGCACATGTCCTCCCCCTACATAAGGGTGGAGATCCTTCTGACTTAGATAATTACCGCCTAATCTCCAAGTTATCTTGCCCAGCCAAGGTATTAGAATCGCTGACCAACTCCCAGCTAATAACTTTTTTAACTTCTCACTCTATTCTAAATATGCACCAATCTGGTTTTAGATCTGGACATAGCACTGTTTCAGCCACTATGCCTTTTTTAGATGGTGTTAAATTGCCATAAAATGTATCATAAAAAACATTGTGCTGCCTTATAGACCTTTCCAAGGCATTCGACACCGTTGACCATT